AGACATTAAAAAAGACAGTCCTTGAATGCATTCCAGTCTATTACTAATTGATACTTAGATGCGAAAATCAACTTCACTGATAAATCTCAGCATGGTGCAAGACAATAATAGAAAGGCTCTTTTAGTTACATTGCCTGAAATAATTGTCTAGAAGAAAAAAATAATTAAAATTTATATGGATACATAGAACGTACCATATTATGTAAGTAGTACATTGTAAATCAATTTTATGTGATTTCTTTTACTGAATAACTCACTTCCAGTTTGAGATATAAAACTTAATCAAAATCCCATCTGAGTTTAAATCATGTACCGGGTACGTATGAAAATACAATCACTATATTGCATGTACATAATAATTAATATACTGGTTCTATAATTAAGTAATTGTGCCATAGAGGCAGCAATTGTAAGCCACGGGGTACCAAATTAATGTGTGCCGACATGATTTAAATGAACAACAATATAATGTATGCAGAAGAGCATGATAAGAACTGCTCTTATCTACTAACTGTGGATCATCCTTAAACCTTACTAATTACCTTCTATTATTAGAAATGCACGTAACGCAACATTACACTAAAATAGCAGAAAGAGAGTCGGGGATTTCCAGTTGCATATTTTTAGAATAACAAGTGGAGTTATCTAACTTGCTTATAGTGGCGCTGGATCCAGAACGGAAGTAGATTTACGCTGACAGAAAGCGCTGTGCGCTGCGCTTAGCGCTTAAAAAATGATTATATGTAAATTGTACTTCGACTAGGATCACAATAGTACGATAAACATTTTTGTTTGTAAGGCGCATTATTTAATCTGTATATTAGAGGAACTGGGATTTGATTCTACTAATGGTAATCCAACTTATACCCATTATTTCCTTTCTAAGGAGGAATATGTAAGTTTTGAATATCTTAATATTCCAAACCACCAAAAAGAATTTGAATTTCCGTATCTAAAGACTATACAAAAAAAATATATTGGATCCCGAAACTTCATTAAAATTCTTACAAAGATATATATATAGCGGGTTCCAGTAAATGTTCTTCCAATCCCTCACTAAAATATAAACAGTAGTAAAGAAGAAACCTCAGGAGTACTGTGCAACAATGAATTCAAGAAGTGGTGTAAATCAGATGTGGATACTTAAAAATTCCAAGGAACATTTGGAAATCGACATAACAAAATTTTACCTAAATCAACAGCATAAAAACAAGACTTTACAAAACCATTTATATGTAACCATTCCCCACTATAAATTAAAGTCCAGCAGGTTTTTTGATATCATGGACAGTTGCATTTTCAATAAAGATGGAACTCATAAATTTACTTACCTTGTCATTGATTATTTGCAAATACTTTGTCAGAAAAAAAAATCTTATTGTACACAAAAGTACTCTGAATTTGATATTAAAAACTTAAAGATGATTGAGTTTCTGATTGACAATATCCACTACATGCATATGTGGCTTTTGGTGACCCGGTCTTCCAACAATTTATTGGAATTTCCATGTATCAATTGTGCAGCGTTATTGCCAGACCTAATTTTGTAATCATATAAACACATGATAAAGTAGAATTTTTTCAAAGTCTTGTACGTGAAAAGAAGAAAACAGTTGCTGTGGCCTTCTACTCGACAATAAGATATCAATTAACAACGGTTATTTCCATTTTTCTGTCGATAAGATATATCCCTGTGAATTTGGAATAAAAGATACCACACAGTCGGACACATCTGTTTCGAATTTTTATTTAGATATTTTACCAGAAAAATGCACTAGTGATAATCTAACCACAAAGATTTATGATAAACATGATGACTTTTACTTTTCAATCGTTAACTACCCTTACTTGCATGTATGCAGCAATATACCCTTAATGTACGAAATTGATTTCTCTAACATGATTCTATATGTAAGAACATTCTCTGCGTATGAACAATTTCTAAGAAGTTGATAAAACAAGAATATCAGCAGTCTCGATTAAAGTCACCATTTTGAAAGTTTTTAGGTCGATAGTGACCTTTTTAGCAAACGCATTCTATCTGTAAGTCAAATGATGATGGTGTGTGAATTTTTCATACCAATTATTAGACCATTAGATGCAGAGGTTTCGACATATTTTTCCGGTATTTTCCGATCATGACAAGAAGCACAATACGGGTGTGACCGGTCGGCAGGGGATACTCAACCCTTCATGTCACCTGATCCCACCTCTATGTTTAAGAGGTCCATGTTTGCCCTGCTCCTGATTTGTATTGTTTTATGGACTTTTGGGCTTGAATACTTTTCGTTATCTACATATATTTCATGTAGTGGCAACCTTGCATACTTTTCCCATAGGAATTCCCCATCTTAATCGTTTAGAAAAACACCTGCTACTATACTATAAACATAACGTTTGTTTATAGTATAGTAAGTGTATACTTTTTTCAAACAATTAAGAAGGGTAGTGTCTAAGGTTAAGGACAGATGATACCTTCCTCAATAATATACAATTTTTTCAAAGAATTTGTCACTGAAGTATTACTACTTTATGTTTACTGACAAAACAATATGAGGTACCTAACCAGGCATTTGTGCAACAAACATATAGCATAGGGTAGTGTTTCTGGTAAAAAACATAATTTTTCATAAAAATTCTTTAGTTAAAGACGATTAAAAATTAGTTTAAAAAATCATTATGAAATTTTAAATTTTAAATATTTTTCATAATTTCAAAAATATACAATACAGATATTTAAGGAACGTATTGTCTGACCTTAATTCATTAGAAAATGAAGCGTAGTAATGTATTAAAACAAAAAAATGTAACGCAATTAAGAGGAAACAAAACAAAAAAAGACTGGACTATCCTGGAATAGTTAACATTGTCAGAATATAATTTCATGTTGTAAAATTCGTACTTATCACACAATGTCTTGACTTATGTGTAGTTAAAATTGAACAGAAATCAATCTAAGGGTAACGCCTTCTAATATATTAGGTTAAACGTAAAGAAAAATGCAGTTTGTGGTCAATGTTTGAAATTGATTCTCGCTAGCTCTTGGCTTTAATGGTAGCCTTTGCTCGGTGTATAGACACACACTGAAATTTCCGCCGCGTTTCTGTATTTGTTTTGGGGTCCAAACATACTTGCAGTTGCAAAATAAAGGCCGGCCACGAGGCAACGGCACTTTTAAATGTTAGGTGTATTCCGAATTCTCACGAAAAAGATGAGGCTGTTAGACTAACAGCACTCAGACGGAGTAGGTGTTTCTGCATTAGGTGTGCGATTTCGCTGCCGTTTTCATAACTTACACAGACAACAAGCATATCTTTTGGAGAAGTTGACTTCTGCTTTTAGCGACAATATTGTGTTGTGTATCTCAAGGTGACATCATATTAAAGGAATTTCCGATAGGAAAATCTCGACTCTGAAATCCGTGTCTGATTGTATTCTGATTTTTAACTTTGACTTAATCAACTCACACGAAATTAACACTAATCAACGAACAGTTAGATCTAAATCTTAATATATCTGCCCTGTGTTCTTAATTTTGGAGGTTTAATTCGAAAGCCTTTATAAGACTATGTAGGGGATTACTTGGGATTAATTTATACCTAAATAACAGAGGAGAATTAGCGTCTAGATAGTGAACCTCCTAGTGGAAAAAGCACGCGCTTCTGTGTCATCCAAATTCACCAAGAAGCGACTCTCTGAACAACTAACGAATTCCATTCGTATCCACCGAATCAAAAATCAAACGTCTATAAGTCGTCTGTCTTCTAACTTCGCCGCGGTCGACTCGGCGCTGATACCTTTATAATGTGTTGGACGCATTCAAATCTCCGTTAATCCTTCTTCAAATCTATCCAGAGTGAGGCTATCTTGGGTAAATATCGTACGCGTGCCAGAGCAGCCCAGGGAAACTGAGGAACCGTCTTGGAGGATTCAGGGCTCCGCTATGACAGGAATTCGCCAGCAGTGGTCTATCTTATCCTCTATCGGGGCTAGCTCCATTCTGTCTGTACTACAACACGAACATCAGTAGCGCGCTTTACTCATTAACCTTTTCTTGAAATCCTTTAAGAAATAATTGCAGCAAACTGCACATTAAATAGTAAAAGCATGTTTTTCTAATATTTTTCAAACATTAACATAAAAACGGACTCACGTGGTTGTTACATTTATTTATTTAAAATGTATATATAGATCATAACTTTCCCAGAATTAATAAATCCTCTAGAAAATTTTGTTTTCCTTGTGATTTGTGAAATATATTTTATTTATTGATTTTCCTTTTTCAAAATGCAACTGATCTATTTTTCCACTCGCATCTTTTTTTTTTTCACCCGTAGAAATGAACTATTTGCAAAATGTGTCAGCGTAACATAACTAAACATTTATTTACATGATCTATAGTGACGTCATTCACAATATATTTGTTATAAATTATTATTATATATACAGTTGTGGGCATCAATCATAAAAGAAAAGAAAACTGATATAACAGAACTCGTGAAATATTTATTTGGTAACGGAGAAATTCAATATGTTAACATTACCGAGTAAAATATATATATATTCTAATATGTTATAATAATAAAACAACGAACACATACACGATGATTTTCACGAGAGACTCCTCGCGGCGTAATTATGCAGAGACCAAATATATCAACATCTATATATTAACTCAAGTTATGTAATCAAGCAATGAATTAGTCGTACACTTAGTATATATAAATACATTTGCCTATGTTTTCAAATTGAAGTCAAGAACAAAAGAACAATATTTGAAAGTGGGTGAGCATGTCTGTATGATTATATAAAAATTAAGACAGTTTGGTACTTCCCAGATATAATTATATATAAAAAAAATCAACAATACAAACAAACAAAAACAAACTATCTAGCATCATCTCAGACTATGCTGTAGGCTTTGTAATATACACTCACAAAATCTTAAGAAAATTGTAAAATAACGCAGACTTCAGATTCCCCCATCATTAACAATGCTCCATTTTATGCAAGCACCACAATTATTTGGTTTCAGTGTAAGAGTTTCCAGCAACACTTTCATGTGTTGCGAGAAAAATTGAATTTAAATTAAGTATTTTAATTAAAATAAAATTACAAACACACCTATAGAAACACCTATTTAGAAGCTGGGTCAGTTACTCGTCGACTAGGGGTATTGCTGTAGTTCTTTCTCGAACATTGCGTGTGTGTTTCAAATATACTCTTATCAAATTTAAACTTGAACAAGTTTTTTAAAAATGCTGGATTATTATTTATGTATTGTCATCTCAAATTTGGAAGTCATTACAACGACGGGCATGGAGAGATTCACGAGGAAAATCTGATCTTAATTGTCCATCGAAAATCTGATCTTAATTGTCCATCATGAACAGGTTGACTGCAAACATTTTACCTGTCTTATAAAAAATATTCAATATTGAATTTCGACATAAATCATAGAAGACTTTTTCCTACATAAAAACATCATAGAAAATAATCATAAAAATGTTTAAATTTGTTAATTTAGTTTAAATCCTCTTTTATGCTGCAAAATTCCTTTCTTTCTGAGAAATATTTAAGTTATTCTGGAGGACAAGTCAATAGCAGGTTTTACATGCCATTATCTATTGTGGGCTGTGGTAAAGTGGTCAGCATCTCTATACGCCAGGTAAAAATGATACTAAGGAATTCATCGCTTGTGTGCAATTCATTAGAAATTCTGAATTTGTGCCAGTTTTTGTATTCAGCATAGTAGCATTTTAATCACAGTTAATTCCACAGTAAATATATTTAGGTATTGTTGATATTGTATTCTCATTTCATAAATTAAAAACAAATGAAATTTAAGACAAATGTATTACTGATACATTTTTTGCCCATATGAGCAATACCTCAGCTACCCTCCCCCTGTCCACGATTCTCTGTCACGAAAAAATCTCTTTAAAGAAAAAAATATATGGTTGTTGATTTTTGTATGATCGTTTCTATGTATATCTGATAAGACTTACTAGTATTAAAAACAAGCACCAAAGACCACCAGTTACATGTAGTGTAAATAAACAGTCCTATTGTCTTTTAAGGGGTAGGGTGCAGGTACTACAACAAATGTGTTCTGGTTGCAATTAATTTTTCAGACAACATAAAAAGTTTGCGAATTCAACTAAAAAAATGTCACACTGGAATTTCAACTTATTATCTATCATAAAATATTTTACATGATAAAGTTTATAAAATTTACTTCCAATAATATACAAGAGATACAAATGTACACATGATGATCAATTTGTTAAATTCCTTAGCTCAATGCGCAGAGTCTGCAGTTCTACAATAATTCAGTTAACAAGGTAAAAATGCACTACATATAAATTTCTTAAATAAAATTATATCTATATATATTGGCAAGATTATAAAAATCGAACCCAATGCCACAAGAACATTCAAATCTAGGCGAGCAAATTTTATTCAGTTTAAGGAAAAAAAACAAACACCCTGATAACATGAATGCTGTTGGAATGAAAGGAAAACAAACTCCTATATATATAAATATAATCCATGACAGTCAAAATTTGAATGGTAACATTTTTCCCTTACAGAAAAACAACCTAGACTGAGTGTTTTGTATAGTTTGTGCTTGTTCATTTCAGTTGATCAGCTTTCTACTGTATCTTAGATACTACATACACGAGTCAAAAGCTCTTTGTACAAACACTGCAATTGCCAGCAATTACAAAAATTGTATGTACATTTGTTAACATATTTTTAAAATTTAATGTTGCTCTTAAATGTAAAAAAAAAATTCAAGCTTTAAAACAAATTCTTTTAAACTTATTTTCTATTACTCAGTAGTAGTTAATCTTACTTATAACTATGATTATTTCATGTTTTTCTTTAAAATACACTCCCATTATAGTTTTAGCACTTAAACTCTTCTTTATTAAAAAAATGACAATCTGGAAAATTCTACATTAGATACAATAATAATTATTCACAAATAAAAACAAATACACTGTAAGTAACTTATGTAAGATTTACATTATTCATATTCCATCCTAGTTTGGATTTCTACAGAAACATCAGACAGACAGTTTATCCTTTTCACCTAGTAGCATCTGCATGTATTAAGAGTGATAAAATTCTCCTTAGTTTTTAGTTTCTGTTGTGTCCTTGCTTAACAATAAGTGTTGAGACACCCTATTACACTGAATTTTACGACCAACATTTGATCATACCTGTATCAATTCTAACAGTTTCAATCCATGTGAACAGGTGTGTTCTACCACTGAAGACCCAGGACAAGTAGAAAACCCTTAAACCCCCTAAGCAGGAGACATTATCATCCAGTGTCACAATTTAAAAAAAAATTTTTTACCATGGACCTTGTCTTAAAAGTTCCTTAATTTCAAATTTGAGCATAAAAAATAATTTTGAGTTTAATTTCATGCACTCTTCAGTAGATTGTAGCTGTATATGGACTTTTATAGCACATCAAACCAGTGTAAATCTCTTTTTAATTAAGGTTAGTTTTACATAAGCATCACATTGATATTGATTATAACTGTAGATCTAGATCTCAATTGATATTAAAAACCGTCTACTACACAAAACTGTCATTTTCTTGTACCACTGAAGTTAGCCAGCACCATTACAAAGGTGTTGTCAGTTGGAAACACATACACGCTTATATTAACCTATATGTCAGTTACATACTATTTCTTAAGGAATGGATCAAAAGGGGTATACAGCAAAACTCGGTTATAACAAACTCACTGGGACCTATGAAATTACTTAGCTATATCCATAATTCTTTATATGCGTATCAAGAATTCGTTAAATTTATATGGCTGGGGATCCACGGTAACTTCGCTATATCCGTGATTTCGCAATATCTGTGTTCGTATTAAACGAGCTTTACTGTACCTGCAAATTTCTAAATAATCTAACCGTAATTATAACCACTCTGATAATCTGGCTCAAATAAAATTCTAGAAAAAAAGAACTGCGGACTGTTTAGGTCTTTTGGTAGAGAGTATGTAGACTGTGTGATCAGGCTCTGTGTTATATAGATTCCACTACGACTGTAAATCTACTGGCGTATGTAGACGAGGTACAGAGCTGCGACTTCTGGTTTACGGGTACAAGCTGGTTTTGTGTGTATTCTGCTGCCATTGGTAGTTTGTTTTATTTTTGTTTCAGCTAAAACAACAGAATAATTAAAAATACCTTAATAAATTTCATAGATGTTATTGTTGTAAGACCTAAGTTTTTCCATGTTTTTTTTTTTTTTTATAAAATAAGAGAGGTTAGTGCATACTTACAATGCCTTACTTTTTAAACATCTTAAAAATGGATGTTTTTTTTGTGGAAGGGGGTCCCATGAGCATAGGTACTTGGTTTTTGTGTGTTATGTTGATCTGAAACAACATAAAATATATATCACCTTAAGTAGTGATAGCTGACACATCTTCACATGTTAAATAATATTTACATGTACATATTTAATAAAAATGGAATTATTTATTGCTTCATGAAATCCTGTGTTTAACTTTTTAACAACAGCATTTAAAGCATTTCAAATTTGTCATATAAATCATGAGTTATTAACATTTATCAAACATTTCTCACATTCAAGTAAAGATTTGTAAAAACTTCTCGTTAAGAGAATTGACAAGGTGTGACTTACAGTACATGGAGGCTGTAACCAGGGCTCACCATCTATCTGCATAGGGAACCTTTTTCTCGTCCTGTAATAAAATTTACAGACTCATTCACATACATAACATTAAACTGACTAATTAAATTTATAGGAATATCAAACTACTTATTTGATTTTATATATACAGTAAAATTTGTCTGAACCCTACATCACTGGTTCCAAAGATATTGGCTGCATTACATTTACAGCTGTGGAATTTACTGCAGTGGACTTTAAGTTTACACCATATTAGACAAGTTTTCAGATTATACAACATCCAGAATAGTCAAGTTTTACTGTATTTTACATCATTACACTGTGTAGGAATATTAGACCGCTGACTCTCACCTGATCACAACCTGAGTACACTGTGCCAGTCGCCGCCCCGAGGCCCTCAGACCGGCGTACACCTGACCCATGTGCATGCTGTTCTCCAACCCCACCACCTCAATCATACTGTCTCCCACATCTGAAACCATAAACATCAAAATATCTAATACCGTACACATCAAAACAGATCTCAAAAATCGTCATTAAATGATATAAGATTATAATATTCCATAATTGTTTCAGTAATGCTCAGAGTTTAAGGAAGGTGGTCAGAAGATCTCTGTTTCTAGAGTATATAAACATTTGGACAAACAGATTTTCAAAAGATGTACATAGAAGAAGTTTTCTTTATTGTAGGCATGCATGGATAAAAATGTCTTCTTTTAAAAATAATTGAAAAGGATTCTTTTCACCATATCTTATATTGTTCTAAGAATGGTCTAAAAACTGAACAAGAAAACAATATCTTTAATTATACATGCAAATGTTTATATGGAACAGTCATAATTTGATATGGTTTACAGTATAAATTAAAAGAATTTATCCATTTACACTTTTTTTTGAAATATATTTTCCTTAACAATGCCAATTTCAGATATATTTCTTCATATTTCAAAGTACTTTTTTCCCCATCGATTTAACATTTAACTAGAAAAAAAAAATTCTATTGTTGCACCAAAATATCTTTTTAATTAATTGCATACATCATTTGATGAGAATCAAATTTAGAAATACAGCTGATCTTATTGAATTTTTTCTAACGGTTTCACCAAGGGGAAAATGACATCTTATGAGCTAATGATATATTTCTTGCTAAAAATCATTTCTGAAACAGTGGTCTTATTTATTGAGTTCCTTTCACACCAGGAGACTTGATATATTAACTTCCGATGATGAACATTTATGACAGAAAACAATATTAAACATACAACTCTTGTCAACGGCAAAAAAAGCCCGTAAAGATCTTAATCCCGTTAGGAATCTGTCGTCATGTGTAGAGATGCTGGGAACTCGTGGATCATCAAATAGGATTACACTGTTTATTCTCTCGTCCATGATTTCATATTGAAAAACATTTCTCTCTGTGAACTGTACCACAGAATTAAGAGCCAGACTTAAGTTCATCTATTTTTTATTTATTGTTTATTTTTATGGCTTATTCAATGACAAAAAAAATTCAGTATTAAATAACTCATGAGTTTGGAGGAATTCTCAAAGTAATATCTTTTAATTTCCACAACAACTATTTTAATGGGGAAAAACATGTACAAATGGTTACAACACAAATAAAAAAAAACTTAATTAGTAATTGTGCCATATTAATATTTTTCTTTTATAAAGTAACTAAGTATAAATAACAGACAAAGGTGCAGCTTGCATTTGAAATAGCAGGCAACTAATAGGTCAGACCTTTATCAGCAGAACAATTAAGTTACTTTCTGATATATACATTTATTTATTGGTTCCTTTCACTATCAAGGCACTTGATTCCTCCAATCCATTGTCAAAAGCCTATAATAGTATTAACTGCTGAAAACAAAGGTCCCGTTTGATGTTTTTATTCTTTTTTCTATTCATTGGATTTCACATTTCCACCTTTTTTAACCATTGAAAATTACCCTCATACTGGAATCACTATATGTAAATGAGGAGATTAATTCAGTGTAAATGAAGAGATCCATTGTTTGCAACCGTGGCAAATCACATTTAGAATGAGGATGAAGTCTTTTTTATGTGGCCATAATTGTGACGATAATCTTTACCAGTAAAAGACATTTTTCCTCTGAAAAATACACCAAGAATATTAATTTTGTCAATACAGATTTATAACAGGGGAAAAAACCGCCCCATTAGAATCTTAACTCTCCATGTTTTTACCGTATGGAGCCAGACTTAATGGTAGAGGGGCCTTTTTTATAATTGGAATGATCGGAGTATATTCAAATTAGCTAAGGTATTACCCTTGTAATTGCAACTTGTAAGTGCTGAGGCTTTTTACTTTACAGGAAACATTTAGTAGAAAATAAAAATTAGACGCGATAAGAATCTGATCATGTGTCACGAAAATGAGAATGATTAACAAGATCATTTTCGGGTGAATTTAATACCAACACGCTTGAAAGCAGTCAATACGTTTATGCCATTTAAATGACAGGAAAGTTATTTACTCCTACTATTTAATTAAAAGTTAATTACTGGAATCATATTGACTTTAAATATAAAGAAATCTATGCACTTTAGAATACTTGTTTAAATTTTTCTGAAGACATTCTACGGCTCACGGAAGCAATTTTAAAAAGGCTTTATATATTGATATAGGATCCATAAACAAGACTCACACCTAGAAGACTAATACATGGCCCAAAGACCATAAATGAAGTACAAACTTAAGTCAGATTTCAAAAGGAATGCAACTTTTGAAATAATTCTGTTAATAAAACAATTTTTCTCATTCATCTGAATTACAATATTTAATTTTAAACATGACATTTAGATCAAGAAACTCAAGATATTCAAAATCAAAATTTTGACTAAACTCTGTTCTTAGTTTATTGTTGGGGATTAGTGTTTAAAGTATGTGATTCAACCCTAGCTTCTTTAGAAATCAAATCATTCAAACTTATTTGGTTTATGGTGTACCTGACAAGATACATCTATATTTCACTGGTTCATAGAAAAGAGAATGTTTTAATAAATTCAAATTTTGTTTCTTTCCCCTTTTTTGGAAGAATTCTTACTAACACCATTTTTCATAGAATACTGCAAATCTTAAAATAATTTAGCCATTGCAAGATCACACTAAAAAAGTAAAATTTTTATAACATCTTTAAATGCTAACTTATGATATTATGAAAAAATAAATTATCCCTTGCATATAATTCATACAATTTGACAGTGAAATCCACGATCATTTTTGAAATAAAATATCAACTTCATGTAATTCATAAACCGAGGACAAAATGTAAATGACACTCTCAATTTCCATAGAAAATTGATCTTCAAATTACTAATAATTGGGAGAGAATTAGACTTAATTTGTGCAAAAAAGAGTTTTAGTCTCCAATCTCAGAATCAGACATTTGATACAGTATTAAAATGATTTGTTTCACTTCATAAAAATCTACAAAATCAGCTGAGAGAAAATAAATGTTAGTGCTCTTTTCTTTTCTTGTGTATTTCTTCTGCCTTGGATGTTTCAAGAAAAAAATCTTGAACACTTTCCTAGAAACTAAGCTAGATACCAAATTAAGAGGAAAAAAGTACATGAAAATGTATGGCTTAATTTCTAAAACATGTTATTAAGAAAATTTTGCCATAACAACAAAAAGAAATTAGAGAAAATTATACACATATAAAGATGTAAAATATCTGTACACACAGATAATAATAATTTTAAAAATCGTAATAGATTTCATAATTTTTAATAAAATTAATTAACTCAAAGGACCGCTCTTGTACCCATAAATCTAAAACCTACTAAGCAAAAGTGATTATCTTCCCCTAAAACCTCCAGTTATTCTCCGCCTGGCCTGATTCACCACGCCATATCATAAGAACTGGGCAAAATCAATAAAAAAGACGGACCAGGTACAATATGGAAAGCCAGGATCCTGCCGATTTTTATTACATTTTATAACGACTTTCATGTCAAAATGACAAATTGTTTATAGTTCTATTTAGAAGGTTGTCAGGAACAAACAGAGCTTTCTCAATTAAGAAAAATTGTTACCATGGTGATGTGATGATTATTATAGAATGGTGGCAGAATTATTTTTGATGAACAGCTTAAATGCTGATAGTTTGTGCGATGCCTGTGACAAAATGCATCCTCTTGTGTGAGATTTTTTGAGATTTGTAAATCATGGTAATAGACACAGCCCCAATTAACTTCTCCACAAAAAGAGGAGAGATAGGAACATCCCAGCTAATAGATACACTAAATGAAGTCCCCATAGCTTCTGCTGTGAGCATTAATTGATTCTCCTACAAATTTAAAGGAGAGTCAGATGACAATTCATTATAACAACTCAATGAGGGAGAGATCTGCGAATAACTCATGCTTGCCCCTATTTCATTGTTAAGGAACTGTATACATTTGCTTTACATTCATTGTTAATCATGGTTAATACATAGATAGTATCTTTTGAACATGTTTTTACTCTCATCCATTTCTTTTTCTTTTAAGGGGGGGGGGGGGGGAGGGGATAACATAATTTTACTAATCAACATTTATATTCCATGCCTACTTTGATTTGTATAAATCTAAGTGTCCAATTTTCTTCATTTGAAAATTTTCTGGAGTTCTGGAGTATATATCTATACAGGAAGGTATATTACTCTTGTTTGGCACTTTTTCTTAAACAAGGAATTCTATTATTACAAACATACAAAGAGATTCCTTCCAAGAAGAAATTCTGTTACATTTTTAGTACATATTGTATACTCTGTACTTACACTGTACTTTGATGGAGAGTTCTACTGATTATTGGTAGACCCTGTACCTACCCTGTACAGCTATGGAGAGTTCTATGACATACCTGTACTATTGTTAGACCTTGTACTTAGTCTGTACACCTATGGTGGGACCGACTGATGACATGCTATTGGTAGACCCTGTACTTAGTCTGTACACCTATGTAGAGTTCAGCAGATGACATACTATTGGTAGACCCTGTGCCTACCCTGTACAGCTATGGAGAGTTCAGCAGATGACATACTATTGGTAGATCCTGTACCTACCCTGTACAGCTATGGAGAGTTCAGCAGATGACATACTATTGGTAGACCCTGTACCTACCCTGTACAGCTATGGAGAGTTCAGCAGATGACATACTATTGGTAGACCCTGTACTTACCCTGTACAGCTATGGAGAGTTCAGCAGATGACATACTATTGGTAGACCCTGTACTTACCCTGTACAGCTATGGAGAGTTCAGCAGATGACATACTATTGGTAGACCCTGTACTTACCCTGTACAGCTATGGAGAGTTCAGCAGATGACATACTATTGGTAGACCCTGTACCTACCCTGTACAGCTATGGAGAGTTCAGCAGATGACATACTATTGGTAGACCCTGTGCCTACCCTGTACAGCTATGGAGAGTTCAGCAGATGACATACTATTGGTAGACCCTGTACTTACCCTGTACAGCTATGGAGAGTTCAGCAGATGACATACTATTGGTAGACCCTGTACTTACCCTGTACAGCTATGGAGAGTTCAGCAGATGACATACTATTGGTAGACCCTGTACCTACCCTGTACAGCTATGGAGAGTTCAGCAGATGACATACTATTGGTAGACCCTGTACTTACCCTGTACAGCTATGGAGAGTTCAGCAGATGACATACTACTGGTTGAGAATTCCCTGTCTTTGTCTTTTTTCGCTGCTTTCTGAGCTTTTCGGCGCTTTTTCTGGCTGGGGTTGTCTCCCCATAGATTCGTACCACCATAGATACTTGGAATATTAAGAAGTGCAATACCCTCTAATCGTGGTCCATTGGCCAAATCAAGGGCATATCCATCACACTAAAATAAACAGGCATTCAAGGAACATTACCAAAATTTAACTGAAACTAGAAATATGTCCATAGGACATGAATACCCTGCCGAGGGTATATTATGAAACATGAAAATTTGTATTAGTATATGAAATTTGATCAGAATATCTTGAATAGTGATGTATTTGAATTGCTTACATCAGTATATATCACCATATGAAGTTTGAAACTAACCTCTTTAAAGTGAGGTCAAGATAAAAAATGCCAAGGTCAAAAAATGTTGATGCAGTTGAAAAGCTCTCATCAGTATGTATCAGCATATGAAGTTGAAAAATTATTATAAATGGTTTCTTTAAAACTGAATTACACCAATTTGATAAAGTGAGGTCAAGGTCAAATGAAAGGTCAAGGTCAAAAAAGTTGATACAGTTGAAATGCTTACATCAATATGAATCAGCATATAACGTTTGATCATATAATTTAGTAATGTGAGGCAAAGGTCAAAGCAAAGGTAAAGGTCAAAAATGTTGATGCAGTTGCATATCTCTCATCAATATGTATCAACATATAAAGTTTGATAAAAAAATCTTGAATGATTTCTTTAAAACTGACTTAGACACAATTTGAGAAGTGAGGTCAAGGTCAAATGAAAGGTTAAGGTAAAAAATGTTGATGCAGTTGAATTGTTACATTAGTATGTATCAGCATGTGAAGTTTGACACTAATTTAGGAAAAGTTAGGTCAAAGGTCAAAGGAAAGGTCAAGGTCAAAAATGTTAATGCAGTTGAATAGCTTTCATCAGTATGTATCAGCATATGAAGCTTGATAAAAATATCTTGGATAGTTTCTTAAAAACTGAGTTAAACTCTTATTTAAAAAAAGTGTGGTCAAGGATGGAAAGACGGAAGAACAGAAGATGGACATGACAAACACTATATGCCCCGGCCATATTCATGGCAGGGCATAAAAACCATTGTTCAGAATATGTATTTCTTAACATTGGGTATTTGTAAGAATTTTTCATTTGAAATATACTGCAGCAGCAGTTAATTTGTTCATTGACAAATGATACTTTGCATGATTAAATTTTTCACACATGCTAACTGTTTGATCATCATCACAAAACAAAGAACCCAGACAGTTAGTTATTGCATATATTTAAATAATCCTTGATTAAATAAATAAAAAAATGAAGAGATAATAATGCTATTGCATTCAATAATTGACATTAAAGTCCTTTACCCTGCCCAGTGATTCATAAAACCACACTTAGCATTGTTTTGTCCCCAATTAGTGAATGGTTTTATGAATCAAGATATCAAGTTATATCTTTATTTGTAGATTTCTCTCAAACACATTTGAAAATAATTTTTTTCTATCATTTATTCATCATATGATACATACCATAATGTCTATTTCTTCATGGAGGTTTTTACATGTGGCTGATAGGGTCTCAGAGGTATAAAACTCAAAATACCACATCTTATTTTTCATCCTGTATATAAACAAACAGCAAGATACATATAAAGCAATAGAATAAATTAAAAAACTTTTTTAATATCCATTTCTTCCAAGATTAAATTACACATTATTTGATTACTTGAAAATTGCTTCAATGCTGAGATTAGTCAAAACAATTAACATCATAAGAAAATTTGCCCTACGATTAATTTCACTCCACAAACATAAATTAAAACAATTACCTACCTGCTATTAAATTTTTCAGGATGTTTTTCTCGCATTAAATGGAATCTGTGAGCAATGGAAGCATCCTAAAAGAAAGAAAGACAACTCTTATTCTGCAACAAAAGTACCTTCAAGCTATGAAAAAGCAGTTATTGATAATATTGCATGGGTTGGGTACTACTTACAATACCAATGGAAAAGTAGTTATTGATAATATTGCATGGGTTGGGTCCTACAAAAACCCCAATGGAAAAGTAGTTATTGAAAATACTGAATGGGACTGCATCCTACTTGTACCCCAATGAAAAAGTAGTTATTGATACTATTTCATGGGACTGGGTCATACTTATTACCCCAATGGAAAAATAGTTATTGATAATATTGCATGGGACTGGGTCCGACTTACTATTCCAATGGAAAAGTAGTTATTGATAATATTGCATGGGACTAGGTCCTACTTAAAACACCAATGGAGAAGTAGATAATGATAATATTGCATGGGACTAGGTCCTACTTAGTACGTAGTACTCCAATGAAAAAGTAGTTATTGAAAATATTGCTTGGGTCTGGTCCTACTTACTACACCTATGAAAAAATAGTTATTGATAATATTGCATGGGACTGGGTCCTACTTACAATACCAATGGAAAAATACTTATTGATAATATTGCATGGGTTGATCCTACTTACAACACCAATGGAAAAGTAGTTATTGATAATATTGCATAGGACTGGCTACTTCTTTCTTCCCCAATGGAAAAGTAGTTATTGATAATATTGCATGGGACCGGGTCCTACTTAACGAGGCCAAATCTAGTTGGAAATTACGAAAATGGAACGATAAAAAATTTTAATTCTTGGAAATATATTTGTATTAGGGATGTCAACGAATAGTCGACTATTCAACTGTCAGTCGAAAGGACCGACTATCGAATAATGCGACCGACTATCGACTAAATAAAATACGATAAAAAAAAGAGCGGTAACTCTTGATTACAAATTTATGAAAAAGTTCATGGGTTATCTTTCTTTACAAAGTCATTGCTAGCTATTCATTTGTGAGTATTATTCACTACGTAAGAACCTTTCAGAAAAATCAAACCCCCAATTAGGTCTAGGTTTCATAGATTTTCAGTTCAGTTTTGAAAATGCCACCACCGAAATCAACCGTGTGGAAATTTTTTAAGCGAAACTTTGCTCTTCTATAATCTGATAATTGTCAATAACAATTGTTTTTCTGATAAATTATGAATCACTGTGCTGGGTTTTGTTTGTAGAATTATAATGAAAACACAGTTAATTAGACTTTACATTCCATGTATCCAAAATATTGTTACTTTAGTAATATTCAAAGGTTCACATACGGTAGCCGAGACACGTTTTGATATTAATTTGATAATTACTTTTATAAAAACACGCATACATTGTAGTGTTGTAAGCTAGGGCATTTAACTGTTTTAAAGTTAATACGGTAATGGGTATTAACAATGTCACACGGGCACCTGACGTGTAGACGCTGTGTTTATCTTATTTTATTTAAATGAGTTTTAAAAAATATTTGCTGGTGGTTTTTGATGCATATTAAAACTAAATAATTATAATTTCATGTAAACATAATAGCTACAAGTCAAGTGCCTGTGAATATCTGTCAAAAGCATACGTAATGCATAAATCAAAGAAGGATAACTCTTGCATAGTCTATGCAAACGAAAGTAAAACGGAAATTAAGATTTTATTATGAAAAAAATGTTCCGAATGGTCGACTATTGTTCGAATAATGCAATCGAATGTTCGACTAAGGAAAATAAAAATTTTGACATCCCTAATTTGAATGCATTATGACAAGAAAAATTAGATTGAAATTTTGTTACCTTGCCTTTATTGTAGTTCAATGGGGGCACTTTCAAGATATGGACCATTTTTCGTGTTTTTATACACAATTACATACTAAAACTCCCCAATAAACAAAGTAGTTGACAGATTAAAAAAAGTAAATGATGAAATGTTTTGTTTTTCACATATATCATGCAATTTTTCATTCCTCTTTTTAAAAATGAAAAGAAAATTGGAGGTAGCCTTTATTGCAGTGAAAAAGGGGACGTCAAAACACAAAAATAGGACTTATTTTATCCAACTAGATATTTATATCAGTCGCAATGGGTTTGCATAACATCAACAAACAATTATAATACTGTATTAGTTTCTAAAAAAATCAATAATTCTTACATTATGAAATAATTTTCTCTCCATGCTTTATTTTTTTCTTAACACAAGACGTTGTTTTATGTGGAAAGGGGGGGGGGGGGGTAAAAAAGGCGACAAAAATTACGAAATTTACTAATACCGTGTATTATATAGAAAAATAAAATATTTTTGTGGTTGCATTTAAATGATTCAGAGACTTATTTTTCTTTTTTTAAACTCAAGCTAATCCATGCATATTTAAGTCTGCAGTAAAAAGGGGTGTGTATAAACTCTTCAACATGTTGAAGGAGAAAGACTAAAATTGTTTACTTTTGGTTGCAGTGTTTGTTTGTTTGTTTTTTTTCTAACTCACTTATTGAAATAAAACAAGATAAAATTAATGAATTTGTACCAAGAAATTGATATCTCAAAATAAATTATCTTCTACTGTTGATTATTAATTATAAATAAATTAAAACATGTAAAAAATAGAAATGCCAGAATGAGCCAGCTTTCAACATGCACTGTCTATAGAGCTACCAGGTATGCAAGATCAGCAAAACATTTTAGCGCAATTTGACATCATTTTAATTGTGACGTTATTGTATTCAATTGTTACGGCAGTCCAGGGTACTGTGACGTACTGTGACGTGCCTGAGTCAACACTGCATTAAAACGTATGCGCAGATCAAGTAGATCGGGCCTCGTTAAAACACCAATGGAGAAGTAGATAATGATAATATTGCATGGGACTGGGTCCTACTTAGTACATAGTACCCCAATGAAAAAGTAGTTATTGAAAATATTGCATGGGTCCGGTCCTACTTACTACACCTATAAAAAAAGTAGTTATTGATAATATTGCAATATTATTGCATGGGACTGGGTCCTACTTACTACACCAATGGAAAAGTAGTTATTGATAATATTGCATGGGACTGGGTCCTACTTACTACACCAATGGAAAAGTAGTTATTGATAATATTGTATGGGACTGGGTCCTACTTACCACACCTGTCCAATGGAAGAGAAATTATTGATAATATTGCATGGGACTGGGTGATACTTACTACACCAATGGAAAAGTAGTTATTGATAATATTGCATGGGACTGGGTCCTACTTACCACACCAATGGAAAAGAAATTATTGATAATATTGCATGGGACTGGGTGATACTTACTACACCTATGGAAAAGTAGTTATTGATAATATTGCATGGGACTGGGTCCTACTTACACACCAATGGAAAAGAAATTATTGACAATATTGCATGGGACTGGGTGATACTTACTACACCAATGGAAAAGTAGTTATTGATAATATTGCATGGGACTGGGTCCTACTTACCACACCAATGGAAAAGAAATTATTGATAATATTGCATGGGACTGGGTGATACTTACTACACCTATGGAAAAGTAGTTATTGATAATATTGCATGGGACTGGGTCCTACTTACTACACCAATGGAAAAGAAATTATTGACAATATTGCATGGGACTGGGTGATACTTACTACACCAATGGAAAAGTAGTTATTGATAATATTGCATGGGACTGGGTCCTACTTACTACACCAATGGAAAAGTAGTTATTGATAATATTGCATGGGACTGGGTCCTACTTACTACACCAATGGAAAAGTAGTTATTGATAATATTGCATGGGACTGGGTCACCCTCCTCCTCTTCCTCCCCCTCCTCTGGTTTACTGAACTCAATCTTCCACCGGTCCATCATGATCTTCACGCTCTGGGACACTTTCTGGAGGGTCTTCCGAGGGTTCTCACCGTCATAACCTGTTACCAGAACACAAGCTAATGTGTATGCTGCTAGTTTTCATGCCAGTATGAATGGATTTACTGTACAATATTTTACCTGCATGTATCATAGATTGAGGCATTATAAGTGTTCCTATACACCAATGTTCAGAGAACAATTACTTTTTCATGTGACTGATTTTGCTAACAAATTCAATTCATTTCTACTGATACATGTACATTGCAATGAAAGAAAGAAAATGGCATTTTTCATACTTAAAGTTTAAGACAATGAAACAATAATTATAGATATAAGTACTTGCAAAGTATAAGGAACATATAAACATAGGTAATCAGAGATTACAGAGCTCACCTCAACGAATGTTGTCTTTAAGTAAGGCAAAGTTACACAATTCACCAAAAAAAAAAGTGTACATCCGAAAATGAAAATATTTATGCAATTTTGATCTGATACTTTGGAATAGAGCTATATAAAAACTTCAAACTAGTTCTTTTTCATGAAAATGTAATTAAAATCCAGCATCTGAAGCAAATTTGAGAGTTTTCATGATGCATCACTTGAGCAAGTTTGGTTTATAGAATGTTATATAAGCCTTATAGTTTTTTGGTAATAGACCTGCACCCATAACTTTTACCTGGTCCATTATCTGAAAAATTTATAATTCAGCAGAAGCAAGTCCATTAGTGTGCATAAGATGTATCGTCCATGCAAGTTTGCTCATTATAGGGCTCATAGTTACTTGGAAATGAAACCTGCACCAAAAACTTTAACCTGTTCACTCAACCGGAAAATGTAGGTCAGAAGCATCCGAAGTAAGTCTGGTAGTAGCATCTTTAGATGTACCATCCATGCAAGTTTGGTCATAATAGGGCTTCAAGTATCTTGAAAATGAAAACTGCACCTAAAACTTTAACCTGTTCAACTCAACCAGAAAATGTAGGTCAGAAGCATCCAAAGTAAGTCTGGTAGTATGCATCCATGTACCATCCATGCAAGTTTGGTCATAATAGGGCTCAAAGTATCTTGAAAATGAAAACTGCACCTAAAACTTTAACCTGTTCACTCAACCGGAAAATGTAGGTCAATTCAGCATTCGAAGCAAGTCCATTTAGATGTATCAAACCTGCAAGTTAGGTCATTATAGTGCTCATAGTATTTTGGAAATGAGACCTGCACCTAAAACTTTAACCTGTTCACTCAACCGGAAAATGAAGGTCAGATTCAGCATCCGAAGCAAGCCTAGTAGTGTGCATCCTTAGATGTATAATCCATGCAAGTTTGAAACTTTGACTGGTACAATGAAACACACTAGAAGCATCTTCCATGCATGTCTAATCAATATAGGACATAGAAGTACTCTAAAAGAAAACTGCTCCAAAAAACTTAACCTGGGACGCCGACACCGACGCCGACGGGGACGCCGAGGGTATTACATAAGCTCCCCCAACTTCGTTGAGGTGAGCTGAAAATCTAAATCAATATACAGAAATCTTTATAAGTAAAATTTTCCTAGGAACACAGGTAATTTTGGTTCTCTAGATCTGTTATCTTTTAATTCCAGCATGAAATGTAAATAAAATCAAATATCACACCTCCTCCCCATCGCAGACATCTGGCTAAGTCATTCCCCGTCCCCAGGGGAAGAACGGCGACAGGCGGGCGCTCAGTAAGGCCCATCTTGTCCATGGCATCGATAAGCCAGCCCACCGTGCCATCCCCACCACACACCAGGATACGGGCGCCTGGAACATCCTTAAAGAACTGTAACCTAGCAACAAAAGACAGTAAAACATCCTTAAAGAACTGTAACCTAGCAACAAAAAACAGTAGAACATCCTTAAAGAACTGTAACCTAGCAACAAAAAACAGTAGAATGTCCTTAAAGAACTGTAACCTAGCAACAAAAAACAGTAGAATGTCTTTAAAGAACTGTAACCTAGCAACAAGAAACATCAGAACATTTTTAAAGAACTGTAACCTAGCAACAAACAACAGAACTTCGAAGTATTCCAAATACATATTCTTCCAAATATGAAAAATCTATCCGAGTCAAAGTATGTCTGTTAAAGTAGTTTCCAGTTACATACCCCTGAGTTGGACCATGCTTGATCATGTCATACACTTGCCGTGGATTCAGTAGATATTGGAATTTTCTGATTAATCTGTTTAAATATATAAAAATTTTGAAAACCGTAATATGTTAACAAATCTGTTAGACTAGTGTTGGTCCTGCTAATATTTATCAACTTTCACCATACACTCAAATGCAATTTATGACAAAAATAAATACCTTTATAGTGCACATTTTTTTTAAGTGCTAATAAAATGAAAACAAATGTTTCATTGTTTTCCCAGGCAAATGTGGATGAAATAGCAAGTTTAAGACTAGTCACTTTCTTGAAATGCTTGAAATCAGGAACTTTATTTTGTTGTTGTTGTTTTTTTGTGTTTTGTGTTCTGTAGAATATTGTCACTTGACAACACTCTATATACTGTCCAGCTAAATTCTCAACATTCTGAGGAATGACTTACTTTGCTCCCTGCTTTCCGCCACTCTTCGGATTGACGAACACAAGCAATGGATGAGATCCTGGAATTGGTGTGATTTGAAATGAACTCTGACCCTGAATAAATAAAAAATGTCACTAGATAATTCAACCATTAATTTTGTCTGAATCATTTCAATCAATGTTTACATGATCTATATATAAACATAACAAGATGAACATTAGAAATTCTAGGTGTATCACATAATATTTTGTTTTCAAACTAATTTATATGTTTTATGTGCATTTAATGTTACTTAAAAGGTTATAAATGTTGTTATATATAAATATGGGGCTTCAAATCCAAATATTTGTCAATGAATTTCAAAATATACATCTATGAAGTTATAATTTATAGATCACAAAAAATATTATTTATATGAAAAGATTCTGAAACTTTAAAAGACAGAATGGCTTTACACATTCACATGATTCTTATAAAGGTAATCTAATCTTAAAGTTTCGACTATGAGCAATAGGCATTATACAAGGCAATATCCTGTAAAAAAAATTAATAAAGCATAAATTTATACACAGATATTGTAGGTCCTGTATACATAGGGTTAACAAGGTTTATTTCCCTAGAATACAAGCAACACTGTTTCATATTAAATGCTTTTAGTTTTTGTTTTAGTTCTCTACAGACAATACAGCAAGCAAATTAAAGGACCAGTACACTCAGAGGAAAGCTCGAGATGTTAAAGGCAAAGAGTCACTTAGGGAAGAGTTAGAAAGAATCAAGGTTCTAAGAGAGCTTAGTCAGTGCATTAAGGTCATCAAGGCATTCACTTACAAAATATATACTTTGGGATAATTTCTAAAAATATAAAAATAAATCCTCACATTGAATTTTCTATTCTTTTTTTCAAAAAAAGATTATTTCGTTTATATTTTATTTTTATTCATAGATAAAGCATGTTATTTCAATAAATACACAGAAGTCATTGCTGACTTTTCATGTAATTCTTCTGCACCAGAAAACCTGCATTTTCATTCTTAAAGTAATTTAGAAATAATATGTTTCCTAAAAATAAAATTAGTTTCCAAAATTGTCAGATGGGTATTTTACTGGCATTTAAAAGTTACCCAGTAATATCAATCTATCATAATTTATCTATCTAATGATTGATAATTTTTTTTCTTCTTATTTATCCATCTTTATCATGATTACTATGTTTAATATTTGTAAAAACTCTGTGGCTTAAAAGAATTCATTTTATCGGCAGTCATACAATCAACCCCTAGTTTTACCATTAACACAAAACAATGCACAATCTTTCCATACCATAACAATATACCTCATGCTCATTCAATATAATACATGTAACAACATGCATACCAATTTAAAATAAAGGTTATTAAAAATAAGAACAGTTCTACCACAATAATCTTAAACTATACAGAAAATACAACATAAGAAAACAAAATAATAATCAATAGTTTCTCAGGCACCACCAGGTCAAAAACTGCAGCAATGATAAATTTTATCGACATACTGATAAGGGAAATAACTCAAGAGTTGGAATAGAAAACGGAGTTATACCCCTTTCCATGCATCTTATATAAAGAGAACAAAATTTTTAAAAAGGAAGAACCACTAGATATTATCATTTTGATCAATAATGATAAAAAAACACTTTCTTAACACTAAGAGAGAAACAAGAGGCCCATGGGCCTTATAGGTCACCTGAGCATTATGCAACAACTTTCCAGTGATTGAATTTGATTCATGTTTTAAGCCAGATGCTATGGCATTCACAATTTTGAAAGAGGCACCATTGATCATCATAACAATACACTTAGCAGTTGCTTAGTTTGTTTACTTGATACCCATACGCAGGGTAACGGAACACAAAATGCATTTCAACTAATCAGTAATATTCAGCAATAATCAGTAGTGCCCCTACCATACATGAACCCCTGACCCTTAGGCCTTGATATTTGATTAATATTAAGGAGCAGATTTCAAACCATTCATTCATTTTCAGTATATAAGTACAACCCCCCCTCTATGGTACCCCTGACCCTGGGGCCTTGAAATTCACAATTGTGGAAGATATGGGCCCTTGTCCATCATAACTATATTGGTAGTTCATCTGCTTAATAACCTGGAGCAGAGAAGAAAATTTTCAAAGATTTAATGTATTTTCACTATATAATCAATAGAGCCCCGCCCTAACACCAGAACCCCTGACCCTGGGGCTATAAAATTCACAATTATGGAAGAGGCATTCTTGCTCATCATAACTATATACTTAGTTAGTTTATTTATTTCCTAGGAGCAGAGGAGAAGATTTTCAAAGAATTCATGTATTTTCACTTAGTCCATATAATCAATACAGTCCCACCCTAACACCAGAACCCCTGACCCTGGGGCCATAAAATTCATTATTTTGGTAGAAGCACTCTTGCTCATCATAACTATGCACTTAGTAAGTTTATTTATTTCCTAGGAGCAGAGGAGAAGATTTTCAAAGAATTTATGTATTTTCACTATATAATCTATAGAGCCCCGCCCTTACACCAGAACCCCTGTCCCTGGGGCCATAAAATTCACAATTTTGGTAGAGGCACTCTTGCTCATCATAACTATGCACTTAGTTAGTTTATTTAATACCCAGGAGCAGAGAAGAAGATTTTCAAAGAATTCATGTATTTTCACTATATAATCAATAGAGCCCCGCCCTAACACCAGAACCCCTGACCCTGGGGCCATAAAATTCACAATTTTGGTAGAGGCACTCTTGCTCATCATAACTATGCACTTAGTAAGTTAATTTAATACCTAGGAGCAGAGAAGAAGATTTTCAGAGAATTCATGTATTTTCACTTTATAATCAATAGAACCCCGCCCTAACACCAGAACCCCTGACCCTGGGGCCATAAAATTCACAATTTTGGTAGAGGCACTCTTGCTCATCATAACTATGTACTTAGTTAGTTTATTTAATACCCAGGAGCAGAGAAGAAGATTTTCAAAGAAATAATGTATTTTCACTATATAATTAATAGAGCCCCGCCCTAACACCAGAACCCCTGACCCTGGGGCCATAAAATTCACAATTTAGGTAGAGGCACTCTTGCTCATCATAACTATGTACTTTGTTGGTTTATTTAATACCCAGGAGCAGAGAAGAAGATTTTCAAAGAAATAATGCATTTTCACTACCTACTTATTTAGCCCCGCCCTAGCACTAGAACCCCTGACCCCAGGGCCATGAATTTCACAATTTTGGTAGAGGACTCATTGCTGATTACAATCATGCAAACAGTTTGATTGCTTGATGTCCAGGAGTAAAGAAGAAGATTTTTAAAGATTGCATTAATTTTAGTGGTTTTGGCCCCACCCCTCAGGCCCCAGGGGGGCAGGGATCATGAAATTCACAATTTTTGTTCCCCTTCACCCATAGATGCTTTGTGCCAAATTTGGTTGAAATTGGTTCAGTGGTTGCAGAGAAGAAGCTGAAAATGTTCAAATGTTAACGCACGACGCACGACGAACGACGACAGACGAAAACGGATAGCAATAGGTCACCTGAGTTTACTCAGGTGACCTAAAAACTGAGCTGTCTGCCATGTTTAATTTTTGATATTTTTGACCTGAGAAAGTATTGACGGTTTTGTTTTGATTTTGAAATCAAGTGAAAACAACGGATCTTGGTGTCTCCTTATTTCTACATGGAAAACATGTTCAATTTAATTTTAGATTTTTAAAATACATAGATTCCAATACTCTGAGAAAGGTAACATTTTTTTTCAATAAAAATTGATCTTGACTTAATAAATTCAAACTGAATTCTCTTACAAAAGAACTATAATTTGAATGATTCACAAGCTGGATACATACATCACAAACATCAAATTAGGTCACTTAATTACAGCCCACTCCAAAATTAGAAATAAGTCCAAGACATGGTTGTTTTTACTCTGTACAATACAATGTATGTTGCAGGGAATGAAATTCATACAAGAAATCCTGTGAAATTCTCACCGAGCAATCAAATGTAGCTGAATCGGATCGCTGTAGTTCCTTCTTCTCATTTTTTCCTGACCTTTGTCCCTACAATACAGAACAAATTAAAAGAATAATGACTATCAAGGAGGGGATGGGTTTGCAGGTGTCACCTCTCAGTGAAAACAGAGGTAACAATCCATCTCTCAAAATACATATAATTTCATGATCTAAAATCATATAGGCATCATGGAATTACTTTGGAACTTGCAAATGATTTGAACTAGAGAAAAAATTCACACGATTTATTTTTATCCATAAACCAAGGGCCTATATTGCACTAAGTCCTAGCACAAAAAAAAAATCCCTCACAACTCAAAAGCCGTAAGTGCTGGGTACAGTTCTAAGTCTGCAGCCCTGCATTGGCAATATATGTATGAGTGAAAAATTCTTGAAAAGACAATGAACAAACATCAGCGTAACTGGAAAATCAAAATGTTTAGCTGACCTTTTTCAGCACATATACATTGTTCCGTACTGTTATTCTTTGTACCTACCAGCACTGCCGGACAGATGGAGGTCGGGGGGAGGGTGTGTTCTCGGAACTCCCCCAGATCACATTCAGGCTTCACTTGGGACGTGCACTTATTGTGTAGCTACAAAATTATAATCATATTTTAATTACACTCTAAGAATTAATCAAGTAACGTCACTTATAAAGGATTCTCTTTGACCGAGACTTACAGATATATGACACCAGCGACAATGTACCCCCGTCAGGCCGTTGTAGGTTTTGATTGATTTTCTACACTTGTCACACTTTCCCGGACAATTACCCTCTACCCAATGATGATTCAGAGTCTGTAAAAAAAAAATCAAACTTTTATGAATTTTAAAGCAGGTTATAATAATGAAATGTAGAACAAGAAATTGATGTCACTCTATATTTTGCACATACTCCACATAACCTTCATTTTCTTGTATTATAATAAGCACAATCTCAAAACACACAGACCAGTGTAACAGTTGAGGATACAGTCTGGAGTTTTAGAAGTTTTAATTCAAAGAAAACTCAGATCAGTTATAATGAATTAGAAACTTGCATGTTTTCAAGTCTCAATTTTTAAAAGAAAGTTACCTTTAAGATACATTAAGTTTTAATTTAATATCAAAGGAAATCATTTCATAAACAGTCAATGTTCAGCATATATTTTGAGAAATACAAACTGGTCCTAGTTAAAATTTTTAATTAAATTTTTCCTTTATTTATTGCTTAATCATTGGAAGTTGAAGATGAAATCATTTAATAATACAAATAAGAATCTATAAATTAAATTAAAAATTGTGCATTTTACAGTCAAGTCCAATATAAAAAAACCTTAATATTACAGTTTCATTGTGTACATGTATGATATCTCCTCTGTAATTATTGGATTATAGTGTAAATGCATAAAAAAAATATCAAAATGACAGCAAGTGCCAAACTCCTTCCTAGTCCTAACAGTAGTGATATCTACTGGGGTATCAAGTGTCATCTATATAGACCTTTGGATGGTTCTACACAGGATACTCAGCTGGAGGAAGTATTGAGGTCATAATGATGTAACTAAAACTAGGAACAAGGGAGACACCAAAGTAGAATCAGGTCACTGGGTCATCTTGAAATTATTGCCAATCCCACAAAAAGATACTAGGTTCTGTACATTGTTTCAATGAAAAAGTATCTTAATTGGTGCCCAAATAAGTAAGTAAACTTAAATATTTAAATTTAGTGCACACAATTTTTATTACATTTCACAGTAACATGTATATTTAATACTAAATTACATTTTCCATAGTTCACTGTAGATCATAAAGAAGAAACACTATTGTTTATATTTCAAATTAAGAAAACTGTAATATTAAATTTTTTCATCCTGGATTAGACTTTGTGCTAAGCTGTCAAAAACTTTCTTGTACATGTATATAAAATTTTGTGAAGTGATTATATGGATCTTGTATGACAACTATTTTCAAAGAAAAAACTATAAACAATCCCTTTATACCTGTAGGAAGAAATCATAATTTATAATATTAATAAAATCATACTGGGCATGCTGTTTTAATGAAAAAATTCAAAAAATCAAATATGTTGTTGTTGGCATGAGGTACAGAGAGATTAAAAATAAATGTTAGAAAATGAATTAACATCTAAATATCAACCCTACCAAGGAAATCATATTACAATAATGTCCCAATTACCTGTACAAGAGGTATAACTTAATAATATTCTAAATAATAACTTAACCTTCTCCAACGATGCATTCCCAAACAAGGAGAAAATTATCTGTACCAATTATATAAAATTAAATGTGGTACAAGTAAATGTGGACAAATCCTATTTTCCTTCCACCTCCAACTACTAATCTCCATGCTTTTACTTTCCTTTCTAATCACAATATATTTAAGTTCTATAAAGGTCATTTTATGATCCTCTAACTATTATGAGATGAAAATTTAAGAATGTGTTTGAAATTATACTGCAATCTTCTTTGTACTTAATTTTATTACAAATTTCTAGTCCACAGCAAGTGTCTAAGTTCTAAAATTCACAAACTTGATAGTTAATTAAAATCCCTAAATCTTCAATAAGCCTGACATTGGTTTGCCCACACTATGTCAGTTGTAGAGGCTCTGACATCAGCTACAGCCCACAATCTGTTAGTTCTAAAGAATCTGACATCAGCTACAGCCCACATAATGCATTAGTTCTAGTGAATCTGACATCAGCTAGGTCTATTGTACTTTAGGTATGACATGCAGGGTTTGATGCTTTCTCTCACAATTATTTTATAGTCACTGGTTTTAATACAATGGCATAAAGTATCAAGATAACCCTTACATTTCCTAAAATAGATGATATACCTTGACCCTGAATGATGTAACAGACGTGAAAGTAATAAACAATAATGAAGTTTTTTAGAATTTAAAATACGATTTGTTCTACTTTTTAAATTGTTACATTTGCCAAACCAAAGTGAACAAAGCAGGTAATCATAAAATGTCCTTGATTTACTTTTATCAGGAAATGTTCAAGCATGGGTTCATCCTCATCCCAAACCACAACATGAATAGATATATATATAGACATGGAACAATCAAGGCATTCAAAAAACAAATCTCAACCAAGGATATAAATCTAAAACCATGGACAGTAGGACGTTACCTGTGGCCGATCCTGTTTTAATTAATGAGGTTGCAGTTAATGGCAAAATGTAGCAATAAGTAAAAACCAGGTCATATGAGTTCAGAAAAGCATCATTTTCATTTTGTTGAAAGCTTGCTACAGAACTAGTTACTTTGATTCAAAGAGTGAATATTAAATCATTCAAGTTCATACAAATACATAAGCTTGATTTCATATAACCTGTTAGCATGTAAATTAGCCAATACACTTATGCTAAACAAAAAATAATCCTACATTCAAGAAGCCTAGCTAGCACAGAATCATTAATCATATTTATGTTGTTAGAAAATTTAATCTATTTTAAAAGCAAATAAGAAACTTTAACTGAAAGAGCACTTAGTAATACACTGTAATTCAAAGGCTAAATTTGTTTATCTAAATCCTAATAAAATCTGCATTGATTTTATCATATAGGGTAAATTTTGAATATGTACTGCAGGAATTTCAAAACATATGAACATCTACATTTTACATAAGGAAACCTAAATAAAAATACTATGACACACATCAGAAACAAATCTTGCAACTTTTAATAAAAACATAGTATTTTTCATATATCAAGAGAGCATGGGCTGAACTGGTTGATACCAAGAAAACAATAATATTTTTGTTGAAAAGAAAAGTGTCTATCAAGGGATCAAGAAAATTTGATTGGCTGATATGAGAGCCAATCAAATCAAGTATATTTGAACTATGTCACACCAAAGTAAATGTATTTTATCTGTATGAAGTCTACATAATTAGAAGCATCCCTTTTGGCTCCACAATATTGTGTATAGATACATACCTGTGGGGTTCTCTTGGATTTGACGTAGGTTGTGATACAACATGCTGGTGCTCGTTGAACACACCTCTCATGGACTGTGTATTTACAAACTAAAGAAAAAACATTCTAGTTACATCAACATTTCACTTGCTTTATTCTATATATTAATCTATCAAGATGTCAAAAATCTTTTTAAAATTTGTGAGTTATTTGTAAGACAGAGGAAGGATAAATTTGAATATAAGTTAAAATACTAGTTCCAGTAGTTGATTTTTATTAATTTAAAACAAACAATTTTACAAACTTTATTGTGTAAATTTACTTACAATACTAAATCAAGCACCATGTGCAACCTGTCTTAACAAGTACAACAAAGACCCTGTTTGCCAACCCCCCAACCCCCCCCTCCAGGAGGTTAGGGTATTAGGGTTTACTTAGGACAATTTCCACTTTAGCTTGGACTTTCAGTAAGGCGTGGCATTCTCGAAGTTACATAATTAGCTTCTGAAATTTACACATCTTTTCTTCACTGTTGAAATATACATGGGATAGAAATTCCGGCAAATGCCAATTAGTGTATCAGCAAAAGAAGTGGAGCTTATGTCGCCTCATGGTTGTCAACAACAATTTAAAGTTCCTGATGTTATTAATTTCTTAACCAATGCAGATCTATTCGCCATTTCACAGACCCTAATTACGTAACACCGAGAATGCCACACCTTACTGAAAGTCCAAACTTACCTGGAAATGATTCTACATGTACAACAAAGACCCTGTTTGCCCCCCCAGAAGGTTAGGGTATACTTATATGTACAACAAAGACCCTGTTTGCCCCCCCCCCAGAAGGTTAGGGTATACTTATATGTACAACAAAGACCCTGTTTGTCCAGCCCCCTCTCCCCTCTCCAGGAGGTTAGGGTATACCTACATGTACAACATAGACCCTGTTTGCCTAGCCCCACCAGAAGGTTAAGGCAGAGATTACAGTAGGCTGGTTTTAGTTTGTAGTTAAAATGTTTCAGTCTCCATGTGTGTGTCCCATCGTCTTTCACATTCTGCAAAATCAGTCATAACATATATATTAAGTTACAATGAATACTACCCTACCATATAAACTTCATTTTATTGTGTTAAACTGTTTAACAGACACATACTCTGTATTACAAACTGAAGATTACTGTATCTATCATTTTATAGTATTTTAACCTCTGGGTTTCTATAACTTAAATAAGTACAAACTCATCGTGTCCAGACCCAGTAACACGAAGGAGGGGGATAGTGGTTAACCCTCCCCGCTTCTATAACTCACCGTGTCCAGGCCCAGTAACACCAGGAGGGGGATAGTGGTTAACCCTCCCCGCTTCCACTCTTCTAGTGAGACCGTCCCATCGGAATCATAGTCTATTTCCTTTAATAAATCTTGTAGAATCTGAAGATAAAACCATCTTCTATGAGAAAATAATCACAATAAAATCATGAACATTTTTTTCATCTTTATTGTAAAGAATATTGGCTTTTTAAAATTTTGAACAATCCCATGTCACTGGCAGTTTGTTATAAGTGTGTTTTGCTGTAGAAAGAATAAAAAAACAACTTTACAAAGGCAAAGCCAATCTTACTAATCATTCAGTTTATTTAATGGTGGATATAATGCCCTGTTCACACGACAAGTTTAATTCGCAGTAAATTAATGCGAAGTAAACTAATGCGAATCAAATTAATGCGAATTAAATTGTGTTCACACGACAGCTAATGCGAAGTAAACTAATGCGAATTAAATTTTTTCTTCTACAGTCAGGCATCAGTAAGTCTATTATGATGTCATTTGTAAATTACGTCATGTATGCAGAGCCATCCTTTGATACATCATGTAGTGGCTACAGGTATTCATTGATTTTAGTGATTAACATACTTTCCCTCATTTTTTGAACCAAATATAGCACAAATACCTATATATAACCACCAACACTTGTCCTGTGACTTAATTCTGGCCTTACGCATGCGTCAAAATTTAATTCGAATTAGCTTCGCTTAGCGTTCACACGGAGCTAATGCGAAGTAATTTAATGCACAGTAAATTAATTCGAATTAAACTAATTCGCATTAAATTCTCCGTGTGAACGCTAAGCGAAGCTAATTCACAGTAACTTTACGTTTAACTCTCCGTGTGAACAGGGCATAAGAAGGTTCCTGGATTAAATGATACACAGATAGGGGCTACTTACAGGTTTTAATTCACTAACGTCCCAGCCTAAACTTTCTGCTACAGACATCATCTGATTCACGATGCAGTCCAATTCCTGTCAATTTCAAAACCTCACAATTACTGCCACTTTTAATGCTACAGGTTATATAACAAAGTTATCTAATAAATCATAATGCAGTTGTTGTTTATATATCTACAATTTCATACTTTTATCCACTATATTTCTTTCCTTCCTGTAAACTCTGATGACCTTTTGTCAATCAGCTTATATAAAATCTATTCTTAGTAAACCTTTAATAAAATATCCTTCACAAAATTAAAGTTACATAAATGTGTATCTTATAAAAGTTTTGCAGTATAGAATATTGAAATAATTCTCAGACTTAATACTCACACTAGCATCTAGCAGCCCGTTCCCATCCGTGTCATACAACCTAAACATGACTGAAAATAGACAACATGACAGCTATATGTAAACATCAGGCATGTTTATACAATCTATGTGTGTTATTGGTCATTTTACAATATTTTCAAATACCATTAACTCCCACTTACGCTGCAATGTGCATTAATTTAAATAACATCCAGGGGATGACAAATCCCACTGCCCGACGTCAGGGGCTAGTGAATTTCAGTGGTGGTCAAGTGAAATTTTAACAGTGGGCAAGTGGCTTCACAAAAACAAAATCAAAATGTAAGTCATAGATTTTAAGCTGGGCATAGGGGCTTACATGATCTACTCAGTATTTGTCTTTCTCTTTTTTTGAAAAATTTATATATACAGTATCAGTTTATGGTAGGGCAATCAAAAATTAAGGTACAGCAAGTTAATTTTGACCATGCAATTGCCCTTGGACAAGTGCCTTAAAAATCTATTTGTCAGCCCCTGCCATTAGAAAATATTCCCAATGCTACATGAAAATTAAATAACCAGATAAAATTTAATAACTAATATTTTGTACTGTATTCTATTGTTATACAAATAATTAATTAACAAAAACAATTTCTCAGAATATTTTCTAAAGATTAATTAATATTATCATAAAAGGTCCTCTCGTAATTCATCAATCATTTCTATTCTCTTGCGTCATCTCCAAATTAATTAGTACGCATAGTACTATATTACCTAATTCTGTCTGTGACAAAGCACACCCTGCTTCATTGCCTACTCCTCACCTTTCATTAGTCAAATTTAAATCAAACTGTCTTAGAATAACAGTTCTAGAAATAAGCTGGACTAATAATTGGGTTAGAACTGATCAATAAATGTGCCATGATGTCACAGTAAGCATGACTCAGGGGGCACCCTAATTCTGTCTGTCATTTCAACACCATTCCAAATCCACAATTCTCATTAAGCTTAACAGCTGACGTCAACTGGAGCCAGCTTACATAAGGCAGAATATCCAACAGGGCCTTGCTTATTTAGACAGCAATTCATTTAAATTTTATTGATGGTAATCTGATGGCACCTCCATCAGCTTACCCTAGTTATTATCTCCTTTAAAATAACTTTATATCAAAAACTGAAAATAAAAGTCACTACCCTGTATTAGATATTTAATACTGTACCAAACTGAGGTGAATATGTATTGTATGCATTACAAGTTCACTGATCTAAGAAATACAAAAATAACATATCAAACATGTAATAAATGCTTTTTTCAGCTGTGACACCAGTTCTATGTCCTGATAGTATAGGAAGCCTACCCCACCCATAAATCTGTTTTTAGAATGATTAATTTTCATCTATAACTCGTAATACAGATAAGCTGATTTACTGTGTTTCCTAGCTCTTTTAAAACAGCATCTATATGCTGATTTGATATCTGTATTTTATATATAACCATAAAATTCTTTTAATATTGATACAGTTCATGTAAATGATACTGTGTGCAGATTTCTTTCTTTCTCTCAAAACATACTAATAACTATTTTGTAGCATATGAGGGTAGATGGCAATATCCTCTTTTGCTAGAAATGGTATACCACTTCTGCATGTTAAATCCAACCCCCCTAATATTTCTGAGAATTTAAAATTGTATACATGTACCATTTAAATTTTTATACTTTTCATAAACCAGGCCCATTCAGAGTAGGATTTAAAGATCTGAAGCCTGGCAATTAGTCCTATTTTTGTTGACTTAGCACTTCCTAGCTCTAGATCTTCTCTACACCATGCCCTTACACCACTTGTCTGTGGGGGCCATTTTATGTGCCTACTTCTCTGATGTACTGATGTTCTTGAGCTCCTTGATTTCTTCCTTCTTTATAGACATCAAGTCCTTGAGCCTCATTATTCTGCCAGCATACTATTTCATCTTCCTTCTTCTTAAGAACTTTTATGTTAGAAGAGCTGCTTACATGTTGCACTGTATCTTGGCATTGAGGTGTTAACACATGACACTTACACATTATATTGTTAAATTTTAATTAAACTGTTTTTAAATTCCTTCTCTAAAACGAGAGATATAATTTTTAGAAAATTACATAGCTATATCGGCTATGAACTGTTTGGAAAATATTGCACAAGAAATTTCTTCTATTCGATTAATAAGAAAAATCTTGTGAACACTGGTGAACAGGTGAAGGACCCGATCAAGCTGCGGAATAGTCAAACCGACAATTACTATTCGGATTTCATGTAATTATTAAATAAGAACAAATAAGTATTGAAACTTTAGGAATTCGTTTTATTTAGTCGAAATACGATCTAACACAATCTACACTCTGTTGTACAGTACTCACATTCTAATTTGTCTTCTGGTCTCCCTGCCTCCAAAAGAGACAGAAAACACACTAAGTCCTTAGCAGAGACAGAAAACACACTAAGTCCTTCAGATAAATATGCCCCGCCTTGATATCACTGCTGCCCAGCCGCTTCTGTACAGATTTCAGTTCCACGTTGTTACTCCGAGGTAAAGAGGAATTGGACTGAGGTATCCATGGATCTACAGAATCTAATGAGTGACCTACAAATCATCAGACAAAGGAAGTCAAAAATTACAAAGATCACCTCAATGCTTTCTTTAAGAAAGTCTTAAACCAAACAAATGTTTGGGTAATTTGCATCCCCAGATAATGTATGCTATGATTGGATTGCCATTACCTGTAGAGTGTATGCTATGGTTGTATTGTATGCTATGGTTGGAATACCATTATGAGCGGAGAGTATGGTATGGTTGGATTGCCATTAACAGTAGAGTGTATGCTATGGTTGTATTGTATGCTATGGTTGGATTACCATTATGAGCGGAGAGTATGGTATGGTTTGATTGCCATTAACAGTAGAGTGTATGCTATGGTTGTATTGTATGCTATGGTTTGATTACCATTATGAGCGGAGAGTATGGTATGGTTGGATTACCATTACCAGTAGAGTGTATACTATGGATGTATTGTATGCTATGGTTGGATTACCGTTATGAGCGGAGAGTATGCTATGGTAGGATTACCATTACCAGTAGAGTGTATACTATGGTTGTATTGTATGCTATGGTTAGATTACCGTTATGAGCTGAGAGTATGCTATGGTGGGATTTCCGTTATTATTGGAGTGTATGCTATGGTTAGATTACCATTATGAGTGGAGTGTATGCTATGGTTAGATTACCTTTATGAGTGGAGGGTATGCTATGGTTAGATTACCGTTCTGAGTGGGGTGTATGCTATGGTTGGATTACCATTACAAGTGGAGTGTGTGCTAAGTTAGATTACAGTTATGAGTGGAGTGTATGTTATGGTTGTATTACCATTTTGAGTGGAGTGTATGCTGTGGTTGTATTACCATTTTGAGTGGAGTGTATGCTATGGTTGTATTTCCATTCTGAGTTGAGTATATGCTATGGTTGTATTACCATTATGAGTGGAGTGTATGTTATGGTTGTATTTCCAGTACGAGTGAGGTTTATGCTATGGTGAGATTACCATTATGAGTGGAGTGTATGCTATGGAATACCGTTATGAGTGGAGTGTATGCTATGGTTGGATTTCTTTGAAGATGAGCGGGAGTGAGTTGTGGCCTCAAGTTGACTGTCATCCCTTGCCAACAACGACTTCTCCACACTGGGATTGGTTGTCATGGCAACGGAAGTATGAGTAGACACAGACGTAGAGCCTGAAAGTGGAAAGCTCCAGATTAAAACCAAACCTTCTCTCTTTTTAAAACAATACAAATATCCAAGGTTCCAATTTAAGTTAAAACACTGTATGTGTGGAAAAGTTCCATCGATTTTATGAACATGATCATAAAATATAAAGACATATTTGCATGAAAAACAATTTAAATTTAATCTATTAAATATGAGCATTTATTCAGTACATGTATAAGTAGTCAAAATAATGAAAAAAATGAAGTTATTTTTTAAATTGAATCACATTACTGGATGAAATCACAGCTTTAAATATTACCCATCCCTCTCCTAAAGGATAAATTGCATTAAAGATATGGTCAATTCTAAAATCAAGTGTTAATAAAAGCATTTGCGGAGTATACATGAGGTCTACAAAGGAAAAGGATAATGAACAGATCCTAATTCTTAATTAATGGGTGTCCATAAGTATCGGAAAGTGATAACATTACAGAATATTTAATCTTTGTAGAGACTATTACAGAATAGTTATCACATGTATTATTGTGTAAGATAGGATAAGAAAGAGGGCTGGGGGTAGTGTTTTATTGTAACAATATGATCTCACATGAACAATTACTTTTCTTTAGAGAAATCCCATCCCTTGTCAGAATATCGTTGGTTTTAATGACCAGCATATCTCTAGTTTAAATATGTCAATAAACTAATAGACACAGTCTCGGATGAAGGCTAATTCAATAACGGTTTACCAGTACCACGACCACTGACTTCAGGGAACACTTGACTGTGCGGGGAATATCTCACCATTCAGTTACTGCTTTATGCAAATGTTTAATACATTTACTGAATCAAATAATCTAGTTGCAATCAAGTACAATACAAATAATATTAGTGTTTCTATTTTCCTGCATCGATGCCTCCAGAATTAAGTTTATGAAAATGTCAAAGTTAAAACTCACTGATTGAACAGTGCACCAAGTCCCAAAAGGGCTTTAACATGAAGCCAGCCTAAATGTCAATAGAACTGTAGCAATTGTCCTTAAAAAAAAGGAACCCAAGGAACCCGGAATATTGATAGGAATAACAAAAGTCGTCAGTTACTTCATCTTCTGAAGTATATACATCAAACGGTTAGGCAAGCCTTCTAACGACCCAGATGGAGGGACAATGGTCCGATTCCTGGAGGTGAATGACTACTAGGGATTTATTTTATATGTCCCTGACTGTCGTCACATTCATCTTATAGTCTGTATTGGACGGGTGATTTGTGTCGGAACTGAGACAAAATAAGCAACAGCCCTGTACCTCAAACAACCTTGACACACATCTAGTGTTATGTGTGGTTTTAAAAATTGTATGAAAATTAAATCTTTCTAAAATTTTCTTATTATAGAGAAATATTTGAATATACCCAAAAAAACTACTTTTCCCTTAATTATAATATTCAACAAATGATTTGAAATATGATTAAAGTGTATCATTATCATCAAAACTCACTAAATTTGTCCTGTATTAGTTTGACATGTCTAAATAAATCAAAGTGATGCTTTTATTTACAAATTACACTATAAGATACTGGACATTATTCACAGGAAATGCTAATTAGCCTGCTAGATTTGCATATTAAAATGATATTAAGTTATGGATAGAGAGAAGCATGGAGAGAAACTGAAGCTTATTAATATTTCTGATTAAAAGGCTTCAATATACATAAACATTAATGATTCTCTATACCTCTAGATAGATCTTGCAGCATTGCCTTGCATGGTCATAAATTGTGTATGATATCGAATACTTTATCATTACTTTTCATGATTAAGCTGATAACTAAAAGCTTATATTACTTTTATATTTCAAAAGGTCAACAAAAAATTTAAAATTAATCCCTTTTTTTTTTTAACATGGAAACATTGTGGAGATGGCTTTCATCAACATTTTAAAAGCTTTTTTTATTAACCATTTGTGACTTTATTAAGCCCAGCATATATAAATAGTTCGCAGAGCTACATTTTATTACATTACTGATCAATGCACCATTTCAAATGCACTGAATCAGATGATCTCTCTTATGTGTAAGAAATTAAAAGCAAGTTTCCAGTCTTCAATTCTACAAATCAACGAAGTATTAAGAGATGACTACCTGAAGCAAAAGGGTGGAAAGATATTAGTTATATAAAGGATATATAATATTAAAATATATATAATAATTAATATTAGGTTTACCATTCTCGTTTGAGGGTACATCGACTGACATAGGTTCTGAAAACACAACAGGTACCCAATTACATGTCAACATCAAACCAGAAATGACAAATACGGCACATTCCTATGTGTTTATAATTTTCACAGAATTCCAGTGTGCAAAACATATACCCCGGTAATGCTATCATTGTGCTCGATATTTCGATTATTTCTCTAATTCATTAATTTAAAATACTATTTACAAACAAGAGATGTTTGTAAAACACTTATGCCCCCCTCCCCCACAAATTGGAATTTTTCTAAGTCCGAAAGGGCATAACTCTGTCAAAAATGGTGCGATCATACCCAAAACAGAACTTGACCTAGATATTTATCTGACTACCCCGGTAATCTGTATACTAAATTCCATTTCAATGTGTGCAACCTCTCCAAAGAAAATGAAAGGAAACTGCAAATAATTGGAATTTTTCTAAGTCCAAGGGGCATAACTCTGTCAATTATGGTGCTATCGTACCCAAAACAGAACTTGACTTAGATATTTATCTGACTAATCTGTATACTAAATTCCATTTCAATGTGTGCAACCTCTCCAAAGAAAATGAACGGAAACTGCAAATAATTAGAATTTTTCTAAGTCCAAGGGGCATAACTCTGTCAATTATGGTGCTATCATACCCAAAACAAAATTTTACCTAGCTATTTATCTGACTAATCTGTATACTAAATTCCGTTTCAATGTGTGCAACCTCTCCAAAGAAAATGAACGAAAATTGCAAATAGTTGGAATTTTTCTAAGTCCAAGGGGCATAACTCTGTCAAACATGGTGCGATCATACCCAAAACAGAACTTGCCCTAGATATTCATCTGATATACCTGTATACCATATTTCATTTCAGTATGTGCAACGGTTGTGAAGAAAATGAACGGAAACTAAATGGTCCGACAGACCAACAGACCAACCGACCGACAGACAGCAGCAAAGCAATATGCCCTCCCTTTTTCGAAAGGGGGCATAATTAAACAAAATCTTCTAGTTTTACTATGTTCAGATTCAAAATAATTTGTATTCATCAATTCATTATGCAATTTTTTGTAGAACTTTATTTACTGAAACTTCTTGGACAGTCACTGTAAATTAATACTTTAAACATTGGACTCAGTTGTTGCATTTGCTAGATATAATTTTTTTTTCATTTACTCGGCGCAGATTGAACATCGAGTTGCTTCAGACTCACAATGGCACAATTAACTGTGTACGAGTAAGTCTTTAACGAGAAATAATGTGCAGTTCTTCCTAAAACATATGAAGCCACAGATAGATCATTTACCATCTATAGGCAACATATGGCTGAACAATTCTCTTTCTTTTATACCTACTCAAACCACTACTGTACAATAAGTACCAGAATCATAGATTCTGAAGTATACATTGAATTCTTACGAATCAAACATCATCAAATTACTATCAAACTAAATCTGACATGTAGCATGCAGTGTATTGCATCTCTGAAATTTTTATAAATGGGATTACTTACTTTTTTATCATGTTTTTTAACATTTCCTGGAAAGTAAATCAAATATCTGCAAAAATAAGGTGGGTAATAGTAAAATATATATAATTTAATTATTGTCTCCAGTTGTGTTCACTAAGTATACATTTGTTTTAAAATGTACGGTTTTGAGTATTTTCTAATAGAATTAATTGGTTTATTGTATAGTTTGTGATCCAATTATTTTTCACTTTGTTGAAATTTTTAAAAATTTATAATGATTATCATGCAATAAGCCATATATATATCACTCTGAATCGATGGACTTTAAAGTTTCTGAAAAATTGAAAAAATTATATTTCAAAAATACATGAACCCATTGAAACACCCTTCCTTTTTTTTTGTAAACATATTGCATTAAACTATGGCATATGAAAAATTGTTACACAAAAACACTAATTAACTTTTCACCATGATCTATAATATATGAGTATTGCATGCTTACAAATTGTCATAACATACTAACAATACTTGTGTTTAAGTGCTAACAATATTGCACTCCTTTGCCTTAATTCATGTTTAGATTATGATTTCTGCCAAATCCCACCTTTAAAAAATTTCAGAAATGCAATACATAATATCAGTTTTTTGGAAATCTGTTCTAAAACATGCACTCATTAAAATAATCATTAAATATATACTTATAAAATAGCAATTCAAACTGCATGGCTTTATATATATTGAGGCATACATAATTTATAATTAAACATGCTTTGCTAGAAGCCATGAAAGATCATTCTATTGAAACAAAGAGCATGTACCTGGGCCATCAATCATTTTTTTCCCTTTTCGATGTACTTCAACCCAGCTTCATTTTTTTTTTTACAAACTATTTTTACACATTGATAATCATCATAAAAAACCACAGACTGAGAAATTTATTGATATTTCATCAAAATATGGTCTGCGAGACGGATTTAATATTTATTGGGGTATATAAAAAAACTTTTCATCTTAATGTGTGTTATAAACTTAAGAAATAAAACAAGTGTGTGTGTTAGGGCTCGGTATTGCCTTAAGATTTTTTATTGCTGCAATATATTGCAATATTTTTAACTGAAACGCAATATGTACTGTAATATTTTTAACAAATACAATAACTGGAAATGAAAGAAGAGGCCCATGTGCCACAATGCTCACCTGTTCACAATGTCTAGAAAATTCAAAAAGTTTAAAATAACTTGTCCCAATAACCCCTTTTAGGAAGGGGGTGGATATAAACAAACTTGAATCTACACTGCCTAATGATGCTTTCACATTTCTTTGACATATCAGGTCTTCAGAGGATTTCTAAAAACTATTACATTTGTAATTTCTATATAAATTTCTAATATGTAAATGTTTTAAAACTTCTAATATAGACTGCCCTACCTCCAAGGGGACAAACTTTGATAAAATTTGAATATTCACTACCCAAAGATGCCTTATTATACATTTAAACATGATGGGTATAAGATGAAAATTTTTCAGATATTTCCCTATATACTTCTATATACAACCTTGTTGTGGCCTGACCCTACATTTGGTGGGGCAATGATTGGAACAAATTTGAATGTAAACTACTTGCAGATGTTTCTATAGTAATATGCCTAATCAAGGCTTTAATATCCTTGATTTTTAAAGATTTTTTCAATATGCACATGTTAAACTCCACCCAATTTTCACTTTTTCTTAATTATCTCCTCTTGGGAGCTAAGAAGGTGTGCCCCTTCATTTGAACAATTATGAATGCCCTTCACCCTAGGATATCTTCTGCCAAGTTTAATTGAAACTGGTCTAGTGGTACTAGAGAAAGTAAGAAAGTGTGAAAAATTTACAACAACAATAATGATGTCTAGGAGGACAGACAACAGACAAATTTTTATCTGAAAAGCTCACTTGAGCCTTCAGATCAGGTGAGCTATAAAGAGAATAAATACAAATAGAATTTTGACAATTGTATACGATTCTTATCAGACTTGTCCACCACCTCTCTAAAGGATTATCCTAGAGAATATTCCCATGCAAACAGAAATTGTGATGTCAGAAAGTTACGAGCCTGAGGAAAATTTTTACAGTAAAACTATGAGTTTTCATTTAAAACCTACTTGAATTCATCTTGTAATGAAGTAATAAACAATGACTGTAACCCATGTATAGTTATGTCTTAACCTGAGCTTGGCACTAAACAGACAACAAAAGAAGACGACCTCTTCCAGTGGTATGTCCAATAATTTAGAGGATTTAAGAGTATATTTAGTGCAGTTGCTTAGAAACGCATGATATACAACAGACCAATCCGCATCATATACTGCAATATTATAGAAGTAAAGTAAACCTCCACTCTATCCAACACAACAAATATCAGGCAGCGTATAAAACAGAGCTAACCACAACACCAGGGGGCGCCATGCAAGCCCCGGGTTGACTGACAGGTTTGAGGGTACCTGCTCGACTCCGTCTCCCTATTTCACCACCTCCGCTATCATGCCGACTATGACCCAGGCCATGGAGGTTTAGTTTTTCGGTTAAGCCGTGGAGTTTTTCAGCTAATCCTGAATGATGCCTATCTTTTTCAACCAGAATTTCAGTCCCCAAATGTGTAATGGGAGCACATACAGTCTGGGAGGCAGTCACGGCCGCCACATCCTTCAGATGTAGATCCTTACCCACAGTGGGCGGCGCCAGCACCGCCTGGGAAGGCTTCTTCATGAAGGAGTAGAATAGGTGTTTGCATAGATCCTCTGGTAATTGAGCATCCAAGTAAGTCTCCATAAATAACACAAAACAGTCATATCCAATGGGCTGTAAACATAGAAAAGATAGCAATCAATAACACAAAACAGTCATATCCAATGGGCTGTAAACATAGAAAAGATAGCAATCAATAACACAAAACAGTTATATCCAATGGGCTGTAAACATAGAAAAGATAGCAATCAATAACACAAAACAGTCATATCCAATGGGCTGTAAATAGAGATAAAAATAGCAATCAATAACACAAAACAGTCATATCCAATGGGCTGTAAATAGAGATAAAAATAGCAATCAATAACACAAATCAGTCATATCCAATGGGCTGTAAAAAGAGATAAAAATAGCAATCAATAACACAAAACAGTCATATCCAATGGGCTGTAAATAGAGATAAAAATAGCAATCAATAACACAAAACAGTCATATCCAATGGGCTGTAAATAGAGATAAAAATAGCAATCAATAACACAAAACAGTCATATCCAATGGGCTGTAAAAAGAGATAAAAATAGCAATCAATAACACAAAACAGTCATATCCAATGGGCTGTAAATAGAGATAAAAATAGCAATCAATAACACAAAACAGTCATATCCAATGGGCTGTAAACACAGAGAAAAATAGGAATAAATAACACATTCATTAAAATCCAAAGGGCTGTAAACATATTAGATAAAAATAGCAATACCTTTTGCTAAAGTGATGTCACAAAGCGGCTAGAGAAGTTAACAAGAGGCCCATGGGCCACATCGCTCACCTGAGAAGCTTTGACCATTCCGTTCTTTACCAGATTTCCCACTTATTATACATATTGTGACAACATCCTATACCACTGATCATAATTTAGACAATTTGAAATCTACACTACCATAGGATGCTTTGATTCCCCATTGTAAAACTTTGATTCCCCATTGTGGCCCTGCCCAACCCCCGGGGGTCATGATTTTAACAATTTAGAATCTACACTACCCCAGGATGCTTTCACTTAAGTTTTAGCTTTTCTGGCCCTGTGGTTCTTAAGTAGAAGATTTTCAAAGATTTTTCCCATACATTTCTATGTTAAACTTTGATCCCCCATTGTGGCCCCGCTCAACCCCCGGGGGTCATGATTTTAACAATTTAGAATCTACACTACCCCAGGATGCTTCCACATAAGTTTCAGCTTTTCTGGCCCAGTGGTTCTTGAGAAGAAGATTTTCAAAGATTTTTCCTGTATATTTCTATGTAATGTTTGATTCCCCATTGTGGCCCTGCCCTACCCCCAGGGATCATGATTTGAACAATTTAGAATCTACACTATCCCAGGATGCTTCCACATAAGTTTCAGCCTTTTCTGGCCCAGTGGTTCTTGAGAAGAAGATTTTCAAAGATTTTTCCCATATATTTCTATGTAAAACTTTGATTCCCCATTGTGGCCCCGCCCAACCCCCCAGGGGTCATGATTTTAACAATTTAGAATCTACACTACCCCAGGATGCTTCCATGTAAGTTTCAGCTTTTCTGGCCCAGTGGTTCTTGAGAAGAAGATTTTCAAATGATTTTTCCTATATATTTCTATGTAAAACTTTGATTCCCCATTGTGGCCCCGACCAACCCCCCAGGGGTCATGATTTTAATAATTTGGAATTTACACTACCCCAGGATGCTTTCACATAAGTTTCAGCTTTTCTGACCCAGTGGTTCTTGAGAAGAAGATTTTTTAATGACCCCACCCTATTTTTGTCTTTTCTTGATTATCTCCCCTTATGAACGGACTTGGCCCTTCATTTTACAGTAAAACTCGTTTAGTACGAACACGGATATAGCGAATTCACGGATATAGTGAAGTTTTTCTTGGTTCCCGGCAAAATTCTTAACAAATCTTAGTAAAATTTTACGTTTAAAACGAACTCTGATATAACGAATTTACGGATATAGCGAACTAATTTTAAGTCCCGTTGAGGTTAAATATAATGAAATTTACATCTATTATAACGAACTTTCAAAGATTATAAAAAAAATTGATAAATTAAACTGACTTTATGTAAGAAATGAAGCTTATTTCAACTTATGTTATTCGGCATAACATAACTTGGGGCGGTTTACGCTTTATAGACCGCGAACAACATAACATAAAATGAAATTAGCTTCATTCCTTATAATTTAATTTCAGTGTAGACAATGAGACAATATTTTCTTTGGAAAGAGGCTTCAAATTGAGCAATATTTTAAAGGTAACGTCAAGCGGAGTGATATGTTTTTGACGTAACTCATTGTGACGTAGGCAAGTTATGTTATACAAAATGTTATATGTTCCTCTGAATGATTCAACCAATGAAATTGCTTGATACAAGTGAAATTAAATTATTTCATTTTAGCATTTGTATATAAAATTCAATGCATAATAAAACTTTAAGTTATCGAAGATATGTTTTGTAATATATGCTTCCCTAACATATTTGGTAGTAATACTTGAAGGAAAACATGCATATTGCGAATTCGCTATATATGGTTATACGAATTTGTTATATGGATATAACGAATTACAGATATAGCGAATTAAATTCACAGGTCCCAAGGACTTCGCTTTAACCGAGTTTCACTGTAATAATTTAAATTCCCCTTCACTCAAGGATGCTTTGTACCAAGTTTGGTCAAAATTGGCCCAGTGGTTCTTGAGAAGTCAAAAATGTGAAAAGTTTACAGACGGAGAGACATACAGACAGCTAGACAGACGGACGGACGGACGACGGACAAAATGTGATCAGAAAAGCTCACTTGAGCTAATAAAAAGGTAATGATATAGGGCAGTGAGAAATTGAAATATTAAGCATATTTTAAGGTGCTTTTAAACATGTAAAATGTAAGTATAAGATAATTTTATGTTCAGTGTGGTAATTTGTGATGATGAACATCATATGTTAATGCGTGATGATGAACATCATCATATGGTAATGTGATATGGTATTTTATCAAAAGGTGGTGTGATGATGTTTTTCATCATATAGTATTGCATGATGATGTATTTCATTGTATGGTAATTTGTGATGACGAACTTCAGCATATGGCAACATGTGATGATGTATTTTATCATATGGTAATGTGTGATGATCGAAATCTGTGACAGAAATGAAAGACATACCTCTTCTGGGTTATACTTGGACAAACATCCATCTCCATTAAACTCTTCTAAGACGTCTTTAAGTTTCTTTGAGGAATCTGCATTTAGAGAAAAAGAAGATTTAACATTAATTTCTTATCAATATCTTCTATTGTCTACTGCATTAGATGTACTGTAACAAAAGGCTATGTGTTGCTGTGCTACCTTAGTATGTCTAACAGAATCCTTTCATACACACAAATTAATATTTTTTTTAAAGTGCCTGATCAGGAATACACCAACTACTCAGTACCCATGACAATCAGTTCATTTTTTGTGATTACAAGTCGTTTTTGCTGAAGCACTTCTAATGAAAATTAAAGTAGATAAAAACCATTGCTATGTTGACAGAATTTTTTCTAACTTTCATTAAATACATGACTTACAAAACCAACATCACCTGATCATATATCATTCAGCATCTTCATATCTTACTGAGTGAAATTTGAATATGTATTATTTTCCTTAATAGTATTTACAAATAGTGATTTTGGGAAAAAAATTGAAGGTGAAAAATTATGAACTTATCTTAAATAAGCAGAATTAGGACCAAACAAATATTAGGAAAATTATAGGACAACTGTTAAGTCTAAGAAATGCAAATTAATATGACTTTAAGTCGACAGACACTATTGGAAGAAACAGAACAATGAACAGATTAGAATATTGTTGCTAAAAAAAACAAGATATGTTTCAGAAACACTTATGCCCCCCCCCCTCTTCATACATTCAAAGAAAATGGAGACTGCAAAGCATTGGAATTTTTCTAAGTCCAAGGGGCACAACTCTGTCAAAAATCGCTCATTCATACCCCAAACAGACTTTCATCTAGACATTCTTATGATAAATCTATATACCAAATTTCATTTCAGTATGTGCAACAGTTATGAAGACAGTAATGGCAGACCAATAGACCAAATGACTGACAGACAGCAGCTGTGAAAGCATTATGCTCTCACTTCTTCAAAGAGGGGCATAAAAATAACTTAAAAAATACTTCTATACAGTATTTGTTAGGTGACATTTTTAGGTTATAAGAACACAAAATAATTTTAAAGATCAGTCAGAGAAGGTTCAAATATTCTAGCCACTGAGGGTGATCTCCCCTTTTCCCTGGCACTATGAAAACTTCTCAATACACAGTCATATTATATACAATAACACTGTTACATACAATAAAGAAATTCTTAGAATGTTTTCTTCATAATATGACAAACAATAGAGTATTTTTTGGTAGACCCTGAATTCACATGATCCTAACTCACCTAGATCAATCCACTTATTAAAGACATACTTCCATATATCTGAACCAAGGGATCGAAAATCCATTCCTATTCAATGCAGTAAATGACTACATGATGAATGCTTTTCGGTGCACGATGTACGACATTAACACAGTATTTCATGTGAATTGTTTACTGGGGTTGAACATGTACTTCAGTATCCCCTCTAAGGAGCACTTGAAACCTTACACAAGTAACATCCCTTCTTTTCTGAAGTGTCAAGTTATCTTCCTCTATATGTCCTTCAGAAGATATGATGTCAGAAGATGTGCATGCAAAAAATTAAATATACTTTAAAAGATAAATGAATCTTTAACAAGTCCTTAAAAAAACAAGAATGTTCCCTGAGTTCTTTCCTTGTTTGCGTTTCCGGAAATCCAGTGACAAATTTCCTGTCCCTTGTCAAGGCTCCGTGTTTCCTAATCAATGGGTGACTACTTCTAATTTGTCTTTCCAAACCCATTCAGCATCCCACTGCCTTAAGTCTTGTATGTTAAGAGCTTAACATTTTAACAGATGTGTAGGATGGATCATTGCAACAATAAAGTCGCATGTAAAAAGACGTGCACTAACAATAATTTTCCACTACAGTAGTCTGCATGGAGCTAAACTGCCGACCATCTAAAAATGGAATCTACTAAAACCTATTTTCTTACATCCAAGCTGACACATTATAATCCTATTTAGGTCAAAAATTAGAAACATTTCCTATATACAGCATGATGGTAATTGTGATCTATGACATCAATGTAAAAAAAAGAAATGTATTGGATTTACTGTCAAAAAATTATCAATTAGCACCACTGTTGTTAGAGTGAAAATTTCAAACTGTTAAAAAAAAGACCTGTATTATTCTTTCAAGAACATTATTCTAGTGTTACATCTAGAACGATAATAAAATAGGACATGTATTCCTTCAGAGCTTACATGTAACACAGTAGTCACATATAAAGAACAAGAATGACTTTATGGTGTGGATTCAATTGTTATGAATCATGTGAATTGTTTTCTCTTCAATAATAGTTTGATTCTTTTCTTTGTTTACTCAGAACTGAATATTTTAAAACTGATTGAAATATGAAGAGAAAATGTCAAAATGTAAGAGAAATGAAAATAAATGTAACAAAAACAGAGGAAAACCAATGGATTCCTCTGTATAGTTCAGAAGGAAGCTCAACCTCACAAACGAGAATCAGAACAGGAATTTTGTAAAATTTCTGGAGGAAAGAATTCAAAAGCTTAAGATTTACAAGACTTAACAAAACAAAAACAAACCTTTTAAAATAAATGCATTTTCAATTTGAAGATAAGTAATTGTAAGTAAAGGTCTGAGGTTACTGTCCAGAAGGTCACGTTTTAATGGTGAGTGCTCACAATATCACTGACCCCTTATTGCCCCCCATAGCAAAAAGAAATGGCATTTTTCCATTTTATCTCCATTTATTCAGCATTTTTTAGCCATTTTTCATTTCAAAACCATTTTTCCTACATTTCTCTATCTTTCAATTTTCATAGACCATTTTCTCAGAACCATTTAAGAACCATTTCTGTTAGAAAATGTATTTTAAATGGTGAAGTTCCAAAATTTTCTTTCCATTTATTTGAGTAAATGGAAAAGAAATGCCAGTTTGGTGATCCACCTTGCTTGATGGGGCCATTTTTCCCCCATTTATTTTCTGAGAAATGGAAGACAAGGAAAAAATGGTTAGTCTTAGCCTTTAATTTTAAGAAAGATTTATCAGTGGTTAATTGATGCCATGTGCCAGGTTTTTATAATGGGGCACTGGATATCAGATTTCTTCCCAAGCTCTGTAGTGACCGCCTTTTCTAGTTTAAGTTTGAATATTGGACAAGAGCACTTTGACCTAGCTGGTAGTGAGTTTAGATGGATGGACTATTCTTCAAGGAATATATAGGTTTTCAGTGTTTTTTGAAGCTGACAAAACTGTATATTGATGGTCAAAGCAGAAATAGATAACTTATTTCTTGAAAGATGATTATTTGTGACTGTTTTCGTGTTTCAAACATTTGCCCAATTGGGAAGTTTAATTTAACGTATTAAGTTACAGCAGAAGAAATGCAACACATTTGTATTCTATTCACTGAAAGGACCTTATTCTTTTTGAGTGGTAAGGATTATGTACATAATTTTTTATTAATTTCTGAGTTACAGAAAAATGTTGTTTCCCAAAGAAAACGCAAAAGGATCAAGTGCCCATTAATCATACTGATGCAATAATCTATAAACCAATCTTGTTAATTTATAATGAAAATTTGTCAGACTGATGGACACTTTTGTAAATTCTTATTGATTAACATCAATTATAATAAGTCTTTGTAAATATTTTCTTGCTTTTAGAATACTGCTTGCATACATTGTCATATGGACATGACATGGAGCACAAAAATAAGCACGGGAAGATACATAAATTTTCAAAGATGGAGCAAGACTACCACAATTCAGATCAAATTGGGATTTTAATTGATAAAATTTCCTAGAATTCAAAAACCGAATATGTGAAATAATTGAACAAGTGACCTCTATTTTGTGACTGACTCTGCAACTAAGATGGATTTTTAAAGTGCTTAATATTCCTTGCATATGGATATCAATTAAGGACCCACCTAAATTTTTCATTTTTTAATTATGGAGAAAATGTTTTAAAATGGATATTAAATGGTTAAAACAAAAACCATTTATTTTTCATTTTTCATCTCATTTGCATAAATGGTTTTGGAATGGTTAATTTGCATGTTACAGGGCCCAAAAAAATGGTGTTTGAATGGTGTTTGAATGGACTTTGAATGGAGTTTGAATGGAGATAAAATGAAAAATGGTTTTTAAATGATCAGCCTTTCTGTTGAGAATTTTTGAAAGAATTGACGAAATAAAATGGTTTCTGAATGGTCTTTAAATGGTCAGAAAAGAAATGGCTTTTAAATGGTATCTAAATGGATTTCATTTTGATAAGGGGGGCCCCCTATATATACACTATACAAGTATAACAGAAGAGGAGAAAAATGTGATGAACCAGACAGGGATTTGGACCGGGCCCCCTGAATTTCCAGTCAGGTGCTCTGTAAGCTGTAGGCTACCTGCCATTCTGTCCCAAGAAAAATGTTCTCAGACAGCAAAGAAACCTGACTCTCACTGCATTTTAAGTGTACCAAAGTATCAAAAAATAGAACTCATCAGTGTGCAGTGTATAGATTAGAGGCATCCTCCACAAGTTTAACTACTGTGGAATCAATGGGAGCATGGGAGACCAACGACCATGGATTTATCACCAACGACCATGGATTTATCCTAACATTTACATCCCCACAAACACTTAATTTGTCATTATTCAATGAATGTTCTGAATATACGAGTAACCCATGCAAGTACACTTACATGATAAAATTTTGCCTACCCATAAACATTGACCCTGATTCCACAATTCTATGCATAAAACTTAATACCTGTGATTTTGATTTGTTTTTTTAATATGATCCTTTAATAAAATTCAGTGTGACTTTTGAATTAAGCTTGTCTTATATTTTTGAACTTAGCTAGACCTAAGATTGATTTAGACTTAATATAAGTCAAGCTTTATTTGAAATACAAATTATATGCTCCCTATTCAAATGATGGCTTGATAAATTCCTCTGATAGAAGATTAGAGAAGACAGTAACTTAATCATTCAAGTGATGTGGACCCTTCTTGCTTCTTCTACTGGGAGCTATATACTAGCTCAAACAGAAATGACAAATTATTTAAATATAAACTCCTTGTGGACACTATCTACCATGATTATACATATGCATCTTGATTCAAAGAAGTCTCAGACAGGGCTAACCCTGCCTACACTGGCTAACCATTAGGGACGAGATGCGAAAATTAATGGCTCACAATCATTCTTATCATTACGGCCCGAACATCACTAACTCAGCAAATTTATCTGTACAGTTTTATACACATATGGATCGCAATTTTAATCCCTTCCATTAAAAACAAGAATCCGTAGGAAAACCTTTCTAGCAAATTGCTCAGTGGTAAAACAAAAAAAATCAATTACACAAATGATCAGGGCTGAATAAATTTAGAAACTTTTTCCCCATTTACGAAGAAGTTGTAGATTCAGTAAACAACAAAAACTGCTTAAACCTTTTATATCCCTGGGATTAATAGACTTGTATAGCATCAGGCTGGTTAACCCGGCTATAACCATATGCCCAGTGATGGTAATTGCTATGTACACACAATGGAAAAAAAGGTACCTTAAACAAATATCAGAATAAATACCCCTTCATCTTAGCTACTTATTGCTATAAATAGCCATGGCTTCCCTCAAACTCTGACCATATTGTAGTGTCAAGCTTAATACTGAAATCAAGGTCACTTGACCTTGACCTTCAGATTCTATAACAGACAACAATCTACATAAAACCATTTTTATACAATTCAACTTTGGTATCTTAAACACCATTATCTAAAATAGCATGGATACATCAAAGTGACCAGGAAGTCCAAAACAGTATTTTACCCTGAATATCAAGAATCCTCATGTATCCTTTCTCCGTCCCATAGAGTTTGACCTACAGACACACTCACATGAAATGTATGCTCTCAGTTAATACAGTTCTAGCTGGTTTATATTCTATGCATTCATTTATAGCTGATCCATAGATGATACAGACAAAAAACACTTACAAGAGGTCAGCCCGCAATGCCTATACACTCCTACTTTGTTCACAAGCCCATCACATTTATATGAGTAGCTCTCCTTCATACAGACAGACAAACGTACATGAGGTCTACACCTACTTGGTGCACACAGATAGACACACAAACAAACTTACATAAGGTGTATGCCTGCAATCTATACACCTGTAGTTGCTTCATACTGACAAACAAACTTACATGGTGTGAATTCCCAATGCCAATACACTTATCACTGTTTTATACAGACAGACAAACTTACATGACGTGTACTCCTGCAGCTGGTGGAACTCTTCTGCACTGATCTTTTTCCAGTCCATGTCGGCCATCATTAAGCTGACTTCAGTAAGTTTGGTGTCATTGTTAACTTTACTTCCACAAATCAAGTTCTGAAATAAAAATCTTTAATGTTGGGTCTTGAAAGGATTGGATTATGTATTCTGCTCTACACCACAAAGGTGACAATGGTTCATAGGGAGCCATAACTAATTTTTTGCATACGAAATCTGGAACAGATTGAACTGAGAGAGTCCTAAATTCTCTGAGGACCAGGCAGCTGATAAATTGATTCCACTTTGTTCACATTACGGTAAGTAATATGTAAATATGTGCAGACAAATTCTGTATATCAGACAATTTGCCAAATGAACAGTATAAAGTATACATCATGCACATGACTGCATCATTTAAATGTTAACTGCTTGCATGATATCCAGATTAAATATGGACTTTTATTACAATGTGCATCAAAAGGTAAAAAATAATCAAAAGGGAAGCAACAAAAAACCTATTCATAAAAAAAACCTTCCCCAATACAGTATAATAGCATTCCCATACACAATTTTGTCATTTCCTTTCTTTTATGATTTTAAAAATTTAAAAGTCCTGTTGACAAATCTTTGATCTTTTTAAAGGGAGATAAATTACAGGCAGTAGACAGTGATGTAATAATGCATTCAGATTATATTTCACTAAATCTGAGTCTATAGCTTAAAGCTTCAAACTATAACTTTGAATGGATCCACTTTGATTTCTTTTTCTTTGATACTTCTTAACATAAAACCAGTAAAGGCTTATTGGATGATTAAAATATGAAATCAGTTAACCTTTTTTTAAATTTCATTGTTAAATTTGCTGGACAAAATCTAATTATCTTAATGTGTCTTAAGTGAAGCTGGATTGCTGATGAGAACTTGAAGTGGATGTAACATACTTTGTGGCCCCCTGCCCCTCAATTATGTTAGTGAGTACCATTCTAATCAGGCTTATTTTCAGACTTGTCAGCTTACATTATGTCAACAAGGAATTCTGCCCCAAATAACCACTTGAAGAAGCCAGAGAGGAACAGTTGTCTTTTTTTTTAAACAAATCTGCATTAATGTTAACCTTTTCTAAGATTTATAACATGTATAACAAAATTAAAACAAAATGAACCAATGGCAGCATTGTATTTTCTCATTTCATGGTAAATAAACAAATAAAGTGACTAAGCTCTGTCCTATACTTGTGCAGTTCCAGACACTGGAACGTGATATGCACATTTAGTAAGGTGAATAGGAGCATGGCAGGACTAGGATTTAGGTTTTCTCTCATTCAATGTTTAAAAATGCACATTTTTCAATGATAACACATTAGGACTACAACATAAACAAACCCATTCTTAGAGAAGCTACAATTCAGTAACAGCTGTCATAATTCATGTCATGCAGGAATCTGCCTGTGCTAGGTATATTTTTTCATCTTCTTAGACAAGCTGTGCAGCATGTAACCCCCCCCCCCCCCCCCCCCCCCCCCCACACACACACACACACACACACCTTGCTTCTTAACAGATGTGAATCTGACAGTTCGCGAAATATTCTCTTTGAGTGATATGCAATCATCATGGCCATAGAAGATGGTAGGGACATCCCTCCCCCCAATTAGCTTTGAAATAATAAATATACTATATACAAAATCATGCTACTTTATGCTTGTGCCTCCTCAGTAAAAATTCTGATACATTTTTATTTTTGGTATGTCTAGGAACATTTGCTTGGTAATGGTTTGCCAAACTGAAAATAATCGGTCATTTACCCCCCCCCCCCCCCCCCCCCCCCACCCACCCAAGGAATTACTTCCTATGGGCTCAGTTATATAAGCATGCACCTCTACAGTGTAATTAACAGTTGTATCTATAAATAAATATATATACTCAAGATTATCACTGACACATTAAAGCAGAGTGATCATAACTATACTGTCAATAAATAATATGGTACATGTAATTTAACAAAATGTTTGCTTGCAATGATGCTTACTTTGTTCTTGAATTATATACTTACATGAATATTTTTGCACAAATCCCAATTAATAATTATCCAGAAAATGAGATAAAATCATAAACAAGTCTTCAGGTTCACTTCACAGGCATTCTACCTGTAAAGAATGACAATATTTACATATAAGACATCGTAATATCCACACACACATATATATATATACTACTCTAGTCACACATATCCTTGTATCGCCGTGTTAAGTACACGTCTTGTGTCATATCTCTCCATAATGCATTCATAAATGCATGGATCAACAATTCATAAGTATGGCTAGCTTATTCATGCCCTTATCAAACAAATAACCTTTGTCTGCAATTCCTTGTTTGTTGGGGAAAGATCTTCACTTTAGATGGACTTGTTTAGGACGAGGCTGTTACGTAATCATAAGACCGTAATTCTATCACATACCGAAATAACCATAACAAATCGCTAGGGCCTATTTATGAGCAGATAAAAAAAATATCCTCCCACACACCTCATCAAGCTTATAAACATAACATTGGATTACAAACTAGGTTAGCTGGGTCAGCACGTTCTGCAGGAGGAAAAAATGTCACATTAACACAATCATCAGAAGGTCTTAAGAAATTACACTGACTGTGAAATTAAAATATGCATATTTAATTAACCAGCAACTTTCACACCATTAGCCAATTCAAGATCTTACTGCTTTGACGCTAGCTCTTAAAGTTTTCGCATGTCACATTATGAATAAAAAATCAGCTGTTTTCCTGTCACAAAAAGTTCTGATCCTTACCATGAAGTCTTTGCATGTATGTCTATCTGTCCATATTACTTATCTTGAAGGCAACTTAGCATAAAGATTTGAACAAAAATCAATAGATAAATTTTAATAATATAAACTGATTTTACTGAGCACATACCAAGGGTGCAGCTACATCCTGCTTCTCAGAATATACATTAACATACCGTGTATCAAAAGATGCAAGTACAGTTATATAGACATGTAGGTATACATGTATATATATGCCTGATGTACATACTAAGTAAACACATCTGTATTAAAAGATGAATCAATAAAGAACAGAATGTGTGTTTTCATAAATGTTATCAGTTAATAGTTAACTGATTCCAGTTTTTACATGTATACAAGTAATAACTTTAATTGTCTCTGTAAGATATGCAAAAATTAAAAGTTTAACCTTTGAATGATATACTCCTAAAAAAATCTTAAATAATTTGTACATCACCATGTTACCTCACATTAATAAAATCAAGATTTATCAGAATATATTTCAGTTTGATGCACACTGCATCATTTTAACTGAACTTTTAAAAACACACCAAACTGGTCAACAAATGATTTCACCTCTACCCTACAGAAAGCAAACAAAAAAGGCACAGTATAATATTATTACCTCACTTTCTACCTGAAAATCCTCCAAAGCAGTGAATTTTGTCTTTCAGATGATCCTATATTTGGCAGCCCTCAGAGGTGTCCCAGTTTCCATGAATGTAAGTATGTGAATTAATACCTACAAAATATCAACAGATTTCGCCCATCAGTCCCAGGATAAACAAATGCACTGTCCACATGCTGCATAATCAATAAAAGCCCCCCTATAATGAATACAATCATATAAATACACACTAATTAAGTCAACCTTTCATTTTCCCCAAAATCTCATTCTCTTGGTTATCAAAAATCTGATATAACAGGCACGAAATATGGTGCTTTAAGGGAAATTCCCATGCAATATAGCTTTGATTCATTTATGTTTAGATGATTTTGTAGCTGAATACATGCTGGATTGGGCCATTATTGAACTAAGTAAAAATCCAGACAGTACTACAATTCAAAAAAGTTAATTATTTCTTCATCATTAATCAGAGTAAATCATGAATCACACAGATATCTAACTGAGCTAAAAAATTCAATTAAAGGGTCCGACACCTAACACCGGACAGAATGACATCATCTGAATATGTTGTCCAGAAAAATAGAAATATTGGAATTTCTGATAAATAGGAAAGATTTCGTTATAGAGTTAGGATGTCAGGCTAACCAGAAACAATTTTATCCAGTATTGGTCCACTCAAGGCATGAAGTGTATGCATGACATTACAGCATCAATCCAAAATAATCTACTTAAAATCTACTTGAAAAAACTAAATTCTTTACAACTTACTGAATTGTTATGCAACATACACTTAATGTTCACGTCATAGAAATATATTTACATTCAGTGTAATTTTCCTTATGAAATCCATTAGAATTCCACGATGTTCAAATTTCTATAACACACGTGAAACCTTGTCACCGCGCGTTAGAATACACAGTAGGAACTATATGCATTTTCAATACTCTAGGAACACCAAAATGTAAAAATTTTTATTTCAATTTAATGAAAATCTATAACCCTGAAAAATCAACCTAAAAATTAACGTTATGTGCGTTAAGAATTGATTTGTCACTTTTTTTCCTCGCAATGTTTGTTTGTGTTATTTAACTTTGCAACGTCATTTAACGTCATTTAATGTCATTTGACGTCACAAACGGCTCTTACATCTATTAACCACGACAGTTCTGAAGGGCGCTAAATTCACATTTAAGATTAAGAAAAAAAAGCAATTATGAAGATGGAAAATTAGAGAATGTAAATATAAGCATTGAATTCATATTTTGGGATGTCTTCGGTCCTATAACACACATGGCCGTGCCGACAAATTATCATACCGCGCTAATGCGCAGTATTCAATTTGTCGGCACGGCCAGGTGTGTTATAGTACCGAAGACATCCCAAAATATGAATTCAATGCTTAAATGACGTTACCATTTCCCTGCAAGCACTTTATAGCGTGGTACAAGTTTCTCTAAAGTTTAGCGTAATATTAGTTACATAGTCAGTTAGTGACCTAATACGGAGTCATACAGGTGTGAAATGGAAATCCATATTGGGCGAGGCGAAGCCGAGTCCCAAGTACGGATTTCCATTTCACACCCTGTATGATTCCGTATTAGGTCACTAACTGACTGTGTTACGAATTTACCCCGCTGAAGACCTTTTTCATCATAACAAAAATATTTGTGCATATCACGAAAATATTAAGTTTTAATCAAATAACAATCAACATAAAATATCGTTACGGTAACAAGAAATTAAACTAAACTACCTACGTTAACCGTTTCTTAGCCGCCATTTTTTATTTACAATAACAACGCTTCCAACGGAATCGCGTCCCTGATTCTCATATTACGCCTCGACGGAGACGTAATACGGAAACGGAGACCTAATACGGAAAATTTCAGCGTCACGTGACTAGCTTTTATCCAATCAGTAATCAACAAATTTGTCTGAAGCGGGATAAATAATATTATGACGTTATATTTTAATAAGAAATTAACTTCTCTTAATATTTTATGTGATTTAAGCAAATATAAAATAGAAGGAATTGGCCATAAATTGAAGATTAAATGAACTTTTTAAAAATCGTGAAAATGCATGATTGTGGGGAAACGATATATGCATGATTTTGCGTTAGAAATAGGAAATGGTATATGCGTTAAAATGCGGGTTAAATAACCACTATAATATACATTTATTTCATAATTGTATTCATTAAAACAAATACAGCTAAAAAAGTAAGACTTATGTGTTACACATGTTAACTGATGCTATGTTCATGTTATGAAATTGTAAGTAAATGAGGTCCAAGCTAGTTTGTCAAAGAAATGCAGGTTTTGTATCAAATAAAAGAATGGTACACATGTTATCCAAAAAATAAAAAGGTGTTCATAAAAAAATAGAATAGTGTACAAGATATTAAAATGAAAAGGAATGGTGTTCAATGTTCATGCTGGTGTTAAATAATGACCAGATCATTTGAAAATAATATTTTTAATTCAGGCCCTTCTATTAAATGTAACAACTCTTTTAAAGTTAATTCAAAAAGAGACATTTAAAAAAGGGGAATACAATATATGCTGTAAAGGGGGCTAACAGTAGATTAAGTAAATATCACATTTATTTTATTTTTTAAAAACTAAACAATAAACACTCATTGATTAAAATGAAAACACATGAATTAAACTTGCTAAAAATTCATGTTTATTAGATAGCAATCATATGACTCTATAAGATATCAAAGACATTGAACAATGGCTGATCAGCTGTTCATGCATGTTAATCTTACTGGATATACATGAAACAACCTGAGTTTTCTGCGTTATGGATGATCATATCACTAATTTTGTTGATATGAGCTAGAGGTTGGATATGAATCTTGTGTGTTTGAAATGTCAGCAAGACAAAATCATCAAAATCTATACATGTATAAGCAATTGGTAACAACAAAGCTTACAATACCGAAAGAGACCTAGCAAATGCAAAGAAAAAACTTACAACATATAATTTGACTGTCATATGATGCATACCAAAACACACTTTGACCTATTCACTCTGACCAAGGTCATTTATATTCCAGCCACACTGTCCAAAGGGGCCCCCTCAGGCCCTGCAAGATCACCAATGCGCTGGCCCACACAGACTGACACCACCACATAGACCCTATGCCCCCTCTCCCAAATCACTGGTGTGTCCCCCATACTGACCCAGGGCCCCCTCTCCCAGATCACTAGTGTGCCCCACACACAGATCCATGGCCCCCTCTCCCAGATCACTAGTGTGTCCCCCACACACAGACCCAAGTCAGCCTTCCCCAAGATTACTAGTGTGTCCCTCCATACAGACCCAGGACCCCCTCTCCCAGATCACCAGTGACCCCCTCTCCCAGATCACCAGTGTGCCCCTCCCCAACACACACAGACCCCCTCTCCCAGATCACCAGTGTGTCCCTCCCCCACCAACACGCACACACAGACCCTAGGTACCCTCTTCCAGATCACCAGTGTGCCCCCCCAACACACACACACACTACAGAGTGTGCCCCTCACACAGATCCATGGTCCCCTCTCCCAGATCACTGCAGTATGCCATGGTGGTTTACAGGCCGTGGAACAATCCAACCATTTCATGCCTGAATCTGTTGTACTACTAATGAGAAGTAAAATCTATGTTATTGATCGGCCTTCTGCTGGCCATCAACAGATATTTATTACTGTGACCTGTCATAGTCATTTAAAGGATCTGGTGTACATGCATTTAGATTGGTAATTAACTTGGACATCGGATTGCTAATCAGTTACCATTATATACATGTATATATATTTGAAACACCTATATATATATGTTTCAGATATATTTTGTTGCCCCACTCAATTGTCAAAAATCAAAAAAGGCAGGTAACATTTTTTTAGTGTCCATAAAACGTACAAAATTATTCTATACACCCACATTACTTATGTAAATTTTTTTTGTTTACAAAACAGCTTTTGAATTGCAGTCATGATGTAAACAGATATAAACTTGTCAAATAAAAAGAAAGCATGCTTGAATACACATGCATGCATGTACAATATTTTTATGGAATATAGAGGAATGCATTCACACCTAAAGGAGAGGTAAATCTCTGTATATAATTACACAGTCCACCCACCTAACCATTGCCTCCAAGCTTATAGCTGATACCCAATCTTCCCAACCATTTAAACGGTGTTTCATCAAGTGGTGTGCATAGTCTCGCACGGAATCTGTAAAATAGTCACATAACAATAATTAGGCGCATATTGTGATTTAGTGAAAGTCAACAAAACTCGTAACAATCTATCATTATATCACTAAAATACAGGACATAATCTTGTTTGTATATCTAAAGACTGATGTGATCATTCTTCGTACAAATGTACTTTAACAATATTTACTAAAGAATACCTCTCTCACTTCCTCCCCTATTTTCCATGAAAAACCAAGTATCAGCTTGCATTATACACTATAGGTAAAGTATCAAACATTGTGTTTTCCTAATGCACCATGGGGCTATCTATGTAACAGCATTATTTGCTTAAGATATGTTTATCCCCTGCCTGTTCAAGATATTCTGCAATAAATTTATCACAGGAGAGGAAAGGTGATTATAAGAATTATTTGACAGTGAAAAACACAAGTTTACGACATGTTTAACAAGATAAACTATAGATAGCTGTCTTACATCTGAAATATCAGACAAATAGCAGATAAAACACAATTTACAACAAGATCCACTCGTATCCCAGTCTTTTAACAAGAATCTATCTTGTACAGAAAAACCTACTAAATCTTTAAAACAGTATTTTCCTCTCAAAATTTAAAATAACCCTAAAAAACATTAACAATATACATGTACTGCGCCTTGGCAGGGGTAGAAACTCCCTAAAATTATAACTCGCAAATAATTGGACTTTTAAGAGTAGGGCTGACTTTTACAGTTGACAGCTTATTTTACACCAGAACAATGTATGGGAGCTCTTTTACAATATAAATATTTAGCTCAACATTTAATTCAACTAAATAACAGGTTATTCAAAGCATAAATCAGTTTTTCTTAAAGAAAACGACAACCACCCTCCCCTCAACTTCCAGACTTCAGATGTTAGTGCCCCTATCAACAGTAGGGGCACTACCTATGACCACTAGAAAGCTGCTCTTACATAAATATTGCATGTAGTTGAGTGTAACATTGAAAATTTTCACCCCTCGAAAACCATTGTCAACCTCGGCTGCGCCTCGGTTGACAATGGTTTTCTTGAGGTGAAAATTTTCAATGTTACACTCAACTACATGCAATATTTATTATATCATACTGAATGATTTAAACAAATACATATAACAGTAAACAGTGTGCGCATAAATTCTGCGCAGTTGCTATTTTTTGGAATATCACCCATCGTCAAGCAATGTTGACTGTTGCTACACTGGAGGGCGTGGCTTCATTATTCAGCGGGTAATAGTGTTTATTTATAAATGTTTCTCGACCAATCAGATTCAACTAATTTACATGAAAGTATATTATCTATTATCAACTCCATACCTCCATACATGATGCAGGTTTAAATGTCAAGTAAACTGTCAACTGTGAAATCAGTGCTTCTCGTAAAAGTCCATTGCGAGTACCATAAAAATGAACTCAATATTTCAAAAGACAACTCACAATTTTAAAATGAAAGCTTTTCAAAATAAACAGCCATTTATCCATCTTTAAAAAAACTTCGTAATTTTCAACATGATCATCAAATGGCACATGCTCATTCATTTAAAAATTGCAGATATAGTAACTAAAAAGAAAAGACTAAATGCGGGTTGAAACAGATGTTTCTTTCCTGGGTCAAAATTCCAATCATGAAAAAATCAACTCGCAAATTTTTGCAAGTTACAAATATTTTAACTTGCAATTTGGATATTTTGCAAGTTGTATAGTGAATTTCGAACCTTGCTCGGGAAATAGTCCTGGTCTTGGGGAACTGGAATCTTGCTAACTCCCTTAATGATATACTTTAACTGTATATTATTATCCTACAAAGGAAATGTATATACACAGTGACAAACCATTCTAGTGTGTTTCTTTATATGATATGAAAGTTTTAAGTCGCTGTGCGTTTCTGCGGAGTTAACAATTTAAATAAAAACATTCAACATTCATATCGCCCGAATCAACATGATCAATATTAAACAAAGATTGTCTAAATGTTTAGGAAAAAGCACAATAATCGTAATATTAACTTTTATAATTAATGGGGTAAATATTTCATCCAATCCTATGACAAACTCTGATATAACTGAACGGAGAAAATTAGTACGAGTGTTAGGCATAGTCTAAAACAAAGCCCGCGTTGTAAATCAACAATTTTACTTTCTATTCTTAAAACAGGATCTGCTGTATTTATTTGAAATGAAGTGTATATTTAAACATTTCCTATGGATATTTTTCAAAAATATGATGAAATATTGATTTCTTAAAAGCAAAGAATATTACGACATGTTAGTCCAGAAGACTAGGATAAAGCGCGTTTTACAATGTGCCAAACATTTTCCCGCCAAATCTCAACACCAAAAGAGAAGAAATGTAGTGGTGGATCTAGAAGGAGTTAGGGGTGGGGGGGGGGGGGGGGGGGTTAACATCCTCTAAGAGAGAGCGAGGAGCCCCACATATTATATATATTTGTTGCGTTTTTATTAAGGTAAAACTATAGCTGAGTTTAAACTTTAGTTTTGTACGTTTTATGTAAAAACTACTTAAACAGCAAATTAAACTCACCAGAGTTCGTTAAGTTGTACCAAACTGAGTGCAGAGACGCAGAGGACTTATGCACATTTTATATTGCCTATACATGTAATATTGTGCATGCATTATGCATGAAGAAAATCGGCATTGTCGCATGCATTTTTTTTTGTGTGTCACGAGGATATTTTAACAGATAAATATAAAAAATTATAAAAAAAAAAAATCAGCAAATTTCAGCTTCTGAAATAATTTCAACAGTTATATAAATTGGTTTGCGGCCGATTTTTGATGCTTGCGTCAATATGTTTCTTGTCTATTGTAATTTATAAGTTTTAAATGAAATGAATACACTTATTGATGAGAACCACATCTTTGTAAGTCTCCCATTAAACAAAGTATAATGTACCAGGTATGTATAAATCCAACAATTCAGATCATCGCCAGTGAGCCATCTGATACATATATACACTACAAAAGTTAATTCACAGTACATGTACACGTATAATTGTAATTATACAAACTGGATTTGACTGTAACAATGAAAAAGGTAAAGATAATTAACAGTGATCAATCTATAACAAGAGGCCCACAGGCCTTATAGGTCACCTGAGTATTGTGTAACAACTTTCAAACAATTAAATTTGGTTCGTGTTTTAAAGCAGAGGCCATGAAATTCACAATTCACAATTTTGAAAAAAGCACCATTGCTAATCATAATTATAAACTAAGCATGCTTATTCTATTTACTTAATACCCAGAGGTAGATCAGAGAAACAAAGAGAAAATGCACTTCCACTTTATCACCAGTTGTGCACCTCATCCCAAAGGAACCACTGATTCTGGGGCCACATATTTCAAAATTTTGCAAATGTTTTCATAAAATGGTTAATTAATACAAAAGACCAGATTTCAAGGCATTAATTTATATTCAGACTAAACCTCCCCCCCCCCCCTGACCTAGGGGGGGCATAAAAAATAACAATTTTGCTAGATACACCTTTCTTCATCATATACATATATACTTGGATCATTGGCATAAAACCCAGGAGCAAAAGAAAAGATTTTAAAAGAATTAATGTATTTTCACTATATAATCAATAGAACCTCGCCCTAACATCAGAACCCCTGACCCTGGGGCCATAAAATTCACAATTTTGGAAGAAACACTCTTGCTCATCATAACTATGTACTTAGTTAGTTTATTTGATACCCAGAAGCAGAGAAGAAGATTTTCAAAGAATTAATGCATTTTCACTATATAATCAATAGAACCCCGCCCTAACATCAGAACCCCTGACCCTGGGGCCATAAAATTCACAATTTTGGAAGAGACACTCTTGCTCATCATAACTATGTACTTAGTTAGTTTATTTGATACCCAGAAGCAGAGAAGAAGATTTTCAAAGAATTAATGCATTTTCACTATATAATCAATAGAACCCCGCCCTAACATCAGAACCCCTGACCCTGGGGCCATAAAATTCACAATTTTGGAAGAGGTATTCTTGCTCATCATAACTATGTACTTAGTTAGTTTATTTAATACCCAGAAGCAGAGAAGAAGATTTTCAAAGAATTAATGCATTTTCACTATATAATCAATAGAGCCCCACCCTAACATCAGAACCCCTGATCCTGGGGCCATAAAATTCACAATTTTGGAAGAGGCCCTCTTGCTCATCATAACTATAAACTTATTTAGTTTATTTAATACCCAGAAGTAGAGAGGAAAATTTTCAAAGAATTAATGCATTTTCACTATATAATCAATAGAGCCCCGCCCTAACATCAGAACCCCTGACCCTGGAGCCATAAAATTCATAATTTTGAAAGACGCCCTCTTGCTCATTATTACTATGTACTTCGTTAGTTTATTTAATACCCAGGAGCAGAGAAGAAGATTTTCAAAGAATAAATGCATTTTCACTGTATAATCAATAGAGCCCCGCCCTAACACCAGAACCCCTGACCCTGGGGCCATAAAATTCACAATTTTGGAAGAGGCACTCTTGCTCATCATTACTATGTACTTAGTTAGTTTACTTAATGCCCAGGAGCAGAGCAGAAGATTTTCAAAGAAATAATGCATTTTCACTATATACTCTATATAGCCCCGCCCTGGCACTAGAATCCCTAATCCTGGGGCCATGAATTTCACAATTTAGGTAGAGGACACAATGTTCATTACATTCATGCCAACAGTTTGCCTGCTTGATGTCCAGGAGTAAAGAAGAAGATTTTTAAAGATTGCAATAATTTTAGTGGTTTTGGCCCCACCCCTCAGGCCCAAGGGGGGCGGGGACCATAAAATTCAAAATTTTTGTTCCCCTTCACCCATAGATGCTGTATACCAAATTTGGTTGAAATTGGTTCAGTGGTTTCAGAGAAGAAGCTGAAAATGTTCAAATGTTAACACACGACGGACGACGACGGACGAAAACGGATAGCAATAGGTCACCTGAGTTACTCTGGTGACCTAAAAACACAATTCTT